GAGTGATGGAAGAGGACGAAGAGGAGGAGGAAGATGGAAGGTATGATGTGTATGTGCGCAGAGCAGGAAGCCGGAGAGGGAAATATGAAATGGCCCAGCAAAGATCCTTGTCCATGGACTTCTGAAACAAAAGTTTGGTAATGTAAATACTGCAGTGACGACTTTTCAATCAGTGCCACAACCTGAGGACATTTACAGAAGTGAGGAGACACTTAATGCCACAGAGTGGATGTGTGTCACTCACCATATGTAATACTATTAATGAAATAAAGACGTGATCCTTGACTTCTCTTTTCTCATTGAGGTCAGGAGGCACAGGGTCTGTTGCAGAGCAGCTCTCTAGGATTTTTTTTTTTTTTTTAATTTAAGATACTTGAGCTCTGATGACCCTGCTCAGACACTGAAACAACTGACAGAAGCTACTATTGTATTTGTGATCAGTGTAAGAGTGAAGACAGATGATGATGCTGTGTATTGTTGTTGTTATCGATGTATTTTGTTAAATACATTTTACTGTAAAGCAAATAGATTTTGTCAAAACATGTTTTCAATCAGTGTGTAGGTTCTGACAGAATGTTTTAAGAGGCAGCGTGATTAAAAATCACTTCTCAGTTTTTGTTTAATCTGTTATTACCTGTATTAAAGAATAAATATCTACATTTCTGCACCATTGGGGTAAGAAAAGTCTCATCTTGCCTTTTATATAGAGTAGACATGGGCAGTATCTATTCATACCTTCATACATTCCTGTCCGCAGAAGTTGGAGCACGGTCTCACTCTGAAGTCGTCGAAATCTGGCACTTGGTTGGTGACTTGTTGCGTCAGAAACCAACGAAAAAAGGCATCCTTTAATGTCGGCATGATACACAGCTGGTTGCCATTATAGTTTAACAGTGCCCAGCAGCATCAGGGGGATATGCGGTGGGACAAGGATTAAAGTTAAGGTGGCAAAAATCTGAGTGAGGTGGGCAGGAGGTATGGTGGATGGGTCCAAATAACCCTAACCCTGACCCAACAAACACCAACTTTCCTCCAAGAGAGCTAAAGCCAGACCCTGTTCTTTTATCCTAAACCTAACCATGTGTTTTTGCTGCCTAAACCTAACCATGTGTGTTTGTTGTTGAAGGAAAACAAACGCCAATTTGCGGTGTTGTACTGACATAGTGCATTTATTTTGAAAGAGACTGTATGTAAAGTTTCTGTGAAAATGCAAGTGTATCTTGAAAGAAGAGAACTCGCCACGGTGTCCCAGAACATCAAAAACCAACGTACCCAGGCTACCTTGCACGTCGTACGTGGACTAGAAAGTCCATGGCCAAAATGTCAATATGTGACGAGGTCGGAGTGAGAATGTGTTGGAATTTGAGCTACTGGTGATAGAAGTTATTGTAGCATGTATTTCATTGTCTAGCCTACAATGCTGTGTTTCTAATATGCAATTAGCCTACTCCGACAATCGTGCAGGGTTTAATTAATCATGGCCAATAGAATAATTAATAGATAGGTTTAGTTTAGGACTAGATGGTACAATCCCTTGATGCACATACTTGAGACTATGACTGGGAGTAATAGTGCTATCTGGGGGTCCGAGTGGGGGCCAAAGAGTTAAGGTTAAATGGATAGAAAAGTAGGAAAGAGCACAGGTAGATAGAAAAGTAAGAAGGAGCATAGGGAAGGCAGAGCCAAGAAGAGACGTTTGTGTGGACTGAACTCTCCCCCGCCGGACCGGGCCGTACACTGTACCTCCTAGAGAAGAAACTAACAGGAGAAAAACTTACCTAACTTTAATCAAGGTGGAGATTAACAGGTCAATTGTTGTTGCACGTACTTGCAACTGTGAGTGAAAGTTGGAGCCATGCTGGGGGAGGGGAGAGAGGTTTAGGGAGAGTAAATGAAGTTAATAAGTGCCCCTTTTCCTGGAGAACCTGATGACACTTGTTGCTGAGGTGGATGCCAATACATCAATGGCTGTGTCAAATAAAATCATGTGCTTGTGTAGTTGGAGGAAGTCATCTCAAGATAAAGATACATTTGGCAGTACTCCTAAACAGGGGCAGAGGCATTTTTCTTTTCCACTAACCCTGTGACATTATCCCCAACACTCACACTCACTATCATTCTTCACTCAGCTGCCTGTTCCATCAGCAGAGGCTGACCTCTGGTGGCGTGTGCTGTGCACTACAATATATCACCTCGATACAGCATCTTTCTATCAGTTTATTAGAAAGAGGAGCATCTGTATCTTTGATGGTATTGAAAATAATAACTTAGGGATTTCTAAATACCCCAGTACATACGACCCAAGCCTGATATAGAGTCTGTTTTAACACCAGATATAAAATAACATAAGCAGTCACTGGTGTTCCTTTCCAGGAGTGACGTGTAATTTGATGAGGAATATTTTACAAAGGCGTGTCAGTGTCACACAGATACGCGGCTAGAATTTTCCTTCTAAAATGAACTGCCAAAGAATGATGTTTATAATCTGGTTATATAGCCACCAAAACCACCAAATTGTTGGCCACTGGCAGCCTATCCTTTTATTTCAGTTTCATTTTTAGTTGTCATATTGAAAACAACTGATGGGTGTTAACCTTTCCACTGGAGAGAAAACAGTGTGAGTGCACATAATGACTTTGTAAAAGGGTTAAAATAATTAAGTTAGTTTCCTGGTAAGTGTTTTTTCTCATTATAATATAGCACCACCACAAATAAATTAACACATATACAATGTAGACATTTGACAGATGGCCGTAACAGACTGCTTTATCATTTGTACCTTAATGATGTTGATATCAGAAGACACAAGTGCTTTTTGTTCTTTCTTTCCCCAAATGTAAGTTCCCTTTTCTAATACAGGCAGAGTTTTGTGTTCAATAACCTTGGAGCTGGAGGACAGAACACATTTAGATATCCTGAAAGTCATTTCTAAGCCATCGCCTCACAGCTTAGTCACTGAATCTGTGCAGGTCATTCATCATATTCAGAAAATTCGCTGGGCAGATATTTAATGGAGCAACTATGTGTTCAGGCAGACAAACATGAACATGCAGTTTTGTCACTACAGCAGGGATGCTGTTTATGCCAGTGAGCCTTGTCGCTGTATGGGGGACAGAGCACCAGAGTGGCAGTCTAGAGTGATGGCAGAGGATGTGGAGGAGATGATATGATGTGTATATGCTTAGAGCAGGAAGCTGAAGAGGGAACTATGAAATGGCCAAGCAAGGATCAATGTTCATCTTGAAAGTAAAAGACGAGATACTCTGCCGTGACAACTTTTCAATCAGTGCCACCATCTGAGGACAGAGCTCTGCACATTAAAGAAAAGAGGAAACATCTATCACCACAGAGCGGATATGTCTCACGCACCATCTTATAATAATACTGATTATAAAAAAGTGATCCTTGACTTCTCTTCTTTTTTTACTTGCCTCCTTCTCACTGAAGTTGGGTAACCTAGGCTCTGTTGCAAAGCAGTTCTCTCACACTTTTTTTCCCTTTTAGAAATGTAAGATAATTGAGCACCGCCAACTCTGCTCAGGCACTGAAACAGCTGATAAGGAGCTGCTATCGTGTTTGTGATCAGTGTAAAAGTAAAGACATATGATAATGCTGTGTATTGTTCTTGATATTGATGTATTTTATTAAATACATGTTTCTGGAAAGGAAATAGATTTGGTTTAAAATATGTTTTCAGTGTTTAGGTTCTAGAAGAGCGTTATAAGAGGAAGTGGGTTTGAAAATCACCTCTCAGTTTTTGTTAAATCTGTTATTACCTGTAGTGAAGTACAAATATCTACAATTCTGCACCATGGGTTTAAGAAACGTCTCATTTGCCTTTTATATGAGTGTTTTGATTGGGAATCTTCGTCTGTTACATAGGTGTGCTGGTTGGAATTTCCCTCATAAAGAGAACTGCAAAATATATGACTTCATACTTTAATTTATAACCACCAAACCACCAAATTGTTTGCCATCGGCAGCCTCTCCTTATATGTCCTTTTTGTTTCTAGCTGTTGGCATTGAATATTGCTGATGGGTGCTAACTTGTCTACTATGAAAGAAAAGAGTGAGTGGTTGTAACGACGTTGTAAATGGGTTGAACTTACTCATCATAATAAAGGACCACAAAAAAAATCAATACGTGCACGAACGTGCTTGACACATGGCTATAAAAAACTGCTTTTACCATGTTGTATCCCAGTGTGTTGTGCCTATGTTCTTATTGTGATCAGAAAATACGGGTGTTTTTCTGGTGTTTGTTGTTGTTATTTCCCCCAAGTAATGTATGTATCACTTTTATTTTTCTCACACAGGCACAGCTTTGTGTTCAGTGTGCCAGACTACCTTGGAGCTGGAGAGCAGAACACATTTAGAAAATCATTTCTGAGCCACCGCCTTGCAGTTTAGTCAGCAAATCTCTGAGGTTCATTCATCATATTCAGAGAATTCACTGGGCAGATAATTAATGGAGCAACTATGTGTACACACAGACAAACATGAACATGCAGTCTTGTCACTACAGCATGGATGCAGTTTATGAGCTCTGCTATGTTCAAGTATGGGGTTTTCTTTCTACACATGACCAAAAGAATAGAAATATGACCAAACAGCTGAGAAATACTGCAAATGGGTCACTTATAATAACTTGCACTGTGCTGCCCAAAAGTGTCCATAAGTTGGCCTCATATTGAGGAAACAATCTGTATCAATTCCCTGTCTTTCCCAGGTACTTATATTCGCTGAGTGAGGCTGCTTTTTCAGTAACACTGTGGTGCACAGTCATTATTTTTATCACATCCTATCCCTGAATAGACGAGATATCTGGGGCACATCAGATAACCGATGGCTACAAGGAAATTAAAATTAGGTTAAGACGTGCAGCATGGCTTTTTATTATTATAATAAAATGACTCAACAATTTGAATCTGTGATAAGAGCTCAACTTATCATCATACAAAGGTGTTTGTTGTGAACGCAGTGATGAAAAAACACAGCTCTGCAGAATGGAACATTTATTTTTTTAAACAGGCACAAAAAAAGTTTTTTCACAGACATATCTCAAATTTTTAACCGTGTTGTGCAATTAGATTGTCACAAGCCTTGTGTTATGTATAACCTTTATGTTTTATTGTTTGCATCAACCCCATGTATGCAACTGTGTGGCCCTCAGAAAAGAAAGTGAACATGAAGTTTGCTTTACAGTACAGTAGATAACTGAGCGAGTCAGGTGATCACTTATACAAGCAGCAACAGGTTGGCCTGCAGCCTGTTAACCATTAACAGAGTGTTCAACTGGAAGACAGACACATGTGACTAAACATGATCACAGAGTTCATACGACAAAAAGAGTGTGTACTGATCTTTGTGCCAGTGCTTGTGTATGTATTTATGTGTGTGTGTGTGTGTGTCTGTGTGTGTGTGTGTGTGTGTGTGTACTTGTACATGCTACACAGTGAGGACCATAAAATGTATTTTAGTAACATAGTGGGGACATTTTTGCAAAGTGAGGACATTTTGGCCGGTCCTCACTTTTTCAAAGGCCTGTTTGAGGGTTAAGACTCAGTTCTAGGGTTCAGGTTAGAATTAGGTTTAGGTTAGGATTAGGGTTAGGCATTTAGTTGGGATTGTTAAGGTTACGGTAAGGGAGTAGGGAATGTACAGTGTACAGTGTACAGTACAATGACGATCTTAGCAAGTGTGTGTGTGTGTGTGTGTGTGTGTGTGTGTGTGTGTAGACAACCAGTGACCTCAGTTACACAACCACACATTATTTTTTACAAGATACAGTTGTGGTCGCACACAGACGTGACAAAGCAGATATCGTGTTCCTTCTCTTTTCTGCAGCAACTCAACATTCCTCACTGTCCCAACTCATAAATGCTCCTCACACTGAACTCTGTGTTATTGTAGGTGACGCGTGCTTCTGAAATGACACAATGGTGAATGCAGAGTATGCAACCCTGACAGGTTCTCCATCATTCTTGTATTGTTCTGCTGAGGGACTATTGCATAACAAGTCGATAACAAAGCACATAGTCAAAAAAACACCTCAGTGAACAAAATGCATGTGACAAAACATAACAAAATAGAAACCCATTGCCACAATAATTACATAATTCTCTGACATTTTAAAAATTTTAATAAAACAGTACATTAACAGAACATATATAAATATAACTCACTTTTACAATTTATCAAGTAGTCCCTTTTGCTCCCAGCAGCTGCAGAGTAAAACACTGCATCAGTTGGTGTTTTTTAAAGAGTCTTTGTGCATCCTTTAACTTTTTGTTCTATTTCTTTTCATCCCCAGTCCTCAAATGAAATAGTTTTGTGTTTCACAATGATGACACGAAGTCATGTAGTGTGCAGGCGTGCAGTCAGTCTTTCTCAGGCCAGAGTGTTGTTCCCATGGCACAACAATGTCTCCGAATGCGTTTAGAGTCAAGAATCACTACGAGCTCCTCAGTGATTCCTCAAAGAAGGCCAGGCGGTCGTGTGCCACCAGGGGTGTATTCTCCCCAAGAATGGCCTCCGTGAAGTTGGGCCGCCTCCAGGCGTAAACCATACTGTTCAGGAAGCCTTGCAGGGACACACTGGCAGCCTGGAAGAAACAAAAACAAAACTATAACCCGCAACTCAGACATCTGATGATAATTTATTATTATAAACATTGTTCTTCTGAAACGTACCTGTATCGCAAAAATGCCAAATAGGCTGCGTTGTTCAATGGTTGTCCACATCATCAGAGTAGACAGCAGAATGAGGACAAGAGCTACAGCAGGAAGAGATATTAAGCATCAATCTGATGTTGATTTAAAGCCAATAAAGTGTATTACATTAACTGTAAATGTGTATGTGTGTGTGTACCTGGTGTCCAGCAGAACAAGATGACCATCACCATATTTCTTGCTGTCGAAATCATTCTTTTGAATCTCCTCCTTGAACGTCCATCTCCCTCCACAGGAAAAAGTCCTTCCTGCTCATGTCTTTCATACCATTTACCAACCTTATAGTAAATGACCTGAAACAAGAAAAAATGAAGGGTTACAGTCTGCTTACACACATGTAAATACACTATTCAAAGCTTAAGATAACACTGTCAAATTACAAATCTAAGCTTTATCTTCATAGATTTTGAAAGTCAATATACGAGACTGTAAATGAAAAATGTCCTAAATCCTCCTAATTACTTACAGCGCAGGACAACATCACTGGTATCACGATGAGGATAAGAAAAACTATAATAAAAATGTCATGCAGTCTCTCCTGGGAAGGAAAAAAAAGTCATGTTAGTATAAACACACTACAAACTATAACAAAGCATTACATAATAAACACACTACCAATCACATACAGTAAAATGATTAGAAAAAACATGTAAAACGCTGCAAATTAAGAGCAATGTATACTCAAAAAGCCTTTTAGGTTAAAAAAAAGTGTGTCATGAGACAGTGTTATACTCACAGTGACAGAACAGGAATCCCTCCAGATGTGCAAGAACAAAATACAACTGAGAAAAAAAGAAAAATCAAAAAGGTCAGAAACACAGGGGAACCGATTTATTTTACTCCTTTCACTTATTTGAAAGCAGTGACTCTGGAGGAAGTCGGTGATGGAAGCTGTGAGCTCACCTGGTGCAGTATTTGGTATTATTAGGGAGGATCAATGATCGGTCAGTGACTGGAAACAGCAAAGTAGGTTTTATGAAGGGAGTGAGCACATATGCTAAGTATAATGCCATGGGGATCAACCTGAAACAAACAGAAATGAAAAATTAAAATGTGTACAGCAGGAATAAGGTCCACAAAGTCTGGAAGATAGTATAAAAACTTACCAGACAAAGGCATAGACAGGTATAGTGACTATTTTCCTTCTACTCCGACTCTGAAAACCAGAAAGATAATGAGAAATCAGTTACTGAATTAGCCCTGACTGTTCTGTACAAATTATATTTTACAAATGCAGTGGATGCCTCACCTGTCCCCGTTCGTCCTCTGTGGGTCTTGCTCTCCAACCTTGGAATGCGTTCTTGGACTTCCATGCGTAAAGCACCACCAGCAGACATGAAATCAAATAAAATGTCTGCAACGGACAAACACACAAAGATGCAACTGTGAAGTATAACAGTTTGTAAAGCAAAATATGCAAAATGTGACAACATGCATCATGAAGCTAAAAGGCGGATCACTTGAATCTGATCAGTTAGGACTTCCCAAAGGTACTTACATTTGTTTGGGTACATAAAATACTATAATTGAATGTTATTAATTAATTAATGCTGTGAGCTGTCAAATTCTGTCTCAACTGCAGCCCAGGAACATTTGACAACCTTAAAAAATGTGCTTATTATAGTTCATAAATCAATAATAAAATTGGGGCTTGTTGCCAACTGAAGTGTATAAAGAATATCACTCCAACCAATGAAATGATTCATTTAGGCTCAGGGTATTCCTTTGCTTTGTTTAAATATTGGGCTTTTAAAAGGCTAAATATTTTCCATATCTGTATTTTGAAGGAAAGTCACAATCTGAACTGAGTGAAACTCGTTTTTGTTCCTACATTACATTCTTTCCTATGTTTGCTTTATGTAACATCACTATCTACTCTGGCCTCAACTCTTATCACTTTAAAATACAGTGTGAGTTCAGAAAATGTTGGGCTTAAGCTGATGCAGTTTACGAAAGACTTGAAAAATTAACAGAGCATGAAACATGCAGCATCACCTTTTGGTTTAAGGACAACTTGGCTTTAAAGATGCAATGCAAGAATCATAAAGCTTTGAATTGTTTTACTGCTAGAATGACGTGACTCTTCTCAGTTACAATCTTAAGTGATTCAGGGAAAATCCGCCAGTGATCAGATTAGACACCGAGATCATGATCTGCTCCTCAACCCTGAAAACTACAGGTGCTTCAGCAAGGAAGTACCCAGGCCTAAGTGGATGCCTCTCTTAACTCCCCTGTCTTGTTTTAGAAAATGAAACTTCAGATATGTCTCCTTCAGACACCAGGAAACAATAATGTAAATGATTAATTTATAGGGGTAAGAGGTTTTACAAAGTGAAATGTTTCTCACCAGTGACAGCGGCAGGAGGTATTGGCAGACAAACACACTGTTTTCAGTGCTGACTTTGTTCATGATACTGGTGGACATCAGGATCAGAGCAGCCAGGAGGTCTGCCAGGGCGAGCTGCACCAGGAGGTGTACCTGCAAACAAATAGAGGAGCTATGAGATGCATAAGAAGACAAAAATCAACAAATGTCCTGCACTAAAACATCAGCATCAACATACAGTAACACTAATGCAGACATACAGATACACACACAGGGATTCATATACATAAACGCATACAGCCTGACTCACCTGTTGGTGTAGACGTCTCCATTTCCATATGGAAACCGCCAGGACAGAAAAACTCCCAATCACACTGCAGTGAATAGAAATATGTGAGGCATTAAATAACACCATAAAGGCTGGATATGTCTGCACTGAATTTATTTTAGGAAATGTCTTGACCATGTAAGGTTTAACACCAATGAGGAGCCTGAAGTTGCCACCACAAAAACACTAAAGCTGAGATGGGTTTATTGCACAGGTCAGCTAGACTTCTTTGTTTGAAACTTATCTCAGACACATGTGATACCTGCGTAAAAAGCCATAAAATGACAGACATGTTCAGTCATAACCGTCGTCTAGGGTCCATAGAAACTAACTGACATTTTTCCCGCATTTTCTTCTCCAGCACCAGTTTTGTTCTGTCTTTGTCACAAGCAAATGAAAGAAACAGCGAGACTCATACACAAAGTCACAGCAGCAGAGTGACTGAGTCCATTGAAGGAAGTTTTGAGTTTTCAGCTGCTACAACTATCCTGAAAACGACAACTCAGTGCTGGATGTTACATTCACACGGTGGCAACATCCTTAATAGAACGAAACATTATGTAAGAACTCTGGAGGAATTCAGAAAGAAAGCATCAGCCCGTCTCTTGTCACATGCCACCTTGCTGGTTTGGCAAACCTCCACAATCAGATGATTGAAATCATAAGATTATTATCTGCTGATTTACTGTAAAACTCAATTTAAAACATGTTTATATATGCCAATATCTGGTTGCTATATAAACTCGCATGTGTTGTCAGAAGGGTAAATCTAGCATGAGGAAGTAAGCACAATGAAGCATATTACCTGGGAATGAGTAACACGATGTACTCAGTAGAGAGAAAGTCAATCTGCAACAACAGAATTCAAACAGATCAGAATCATAAATGCAATGTACCTCTTAAACTCCCAACAGTTTTCATTCATTTTCTGTTAATTTGTTATTGTACAGAAAAGTATTACACGTAATGCCTACCTGATCTCCACTCAGTACACGATTGATCTCCATGATGAATATCCAATTATCAGTCTGTTTTCACTCTTGTCGGTCAAGGCTGAATAATGTGTCTCCTTAACAGGTTGGCCCTTGTGATAATGTACTTTCATATCGGAGCTCTCCTCTATAAAAGTCTGCAGCTTGTCCTATCCTGCTGTTTTGGCTCCACCTGCTTTGGGTGTGTGCTTCATGAGCTGGTGCAACACTTTTTTTTTCATGGGAATCCCCGGGTGGGACAGGAATATTCCTTGTCTTGCCTCCAGTGTTTCAAGAAATGTTAACACTTAACTGTGAGATGGAGTTCCCTCTGTACTTTTTGTGTTTACACTGATGTGTCTTAGATGTGGCACAGCAGAGGGTACTTTTCACATGCTACAGTACATGGCTGTGTGGGAAGGTACAACAGGGCCTGAGTTATGTTTACTTGCAAAACTTGCCGATATAAATCTCATTAGCAATACTGTTTTTAAATTTATTAAGAATGCACTTCCTGTTGCAAGAAAACGTATAGCTCTAACATGGATTGCCCTTTGGAGAAAATAACATGTTCTGAGAAGCAGATATGATCAGCTCATTAAGTTATGCCAACCCTATATTGACCATAAGGACTCTCTCAATCTGCAGTTAAATATCTACACTGTACAACATGTTTAACCACTGTCTTATAGATAGATAGAAAGATACATTCAATTCTACTGATTGACTCAGACTTGATGTAGACTCACTGCTGTAACTACAACAATACACCCTGTGGGTACTCACCTACGTAATGTCTCTCATGTTATATTTTGTTATATTTTGTTATGTCTTATTTTATCTAATTTTGTTTTATTTGACCTTGTGGACAGTGTTGTCAAGGTGAATCTGTAATAAGGGTGGACGTAGAGAGGAGGAGGGAAGGGCAAACTGTTTTGTCTAGTTCTGTTTTGCTGTTCTGTTGCTTAGAAATAAGAGATGTACGTGTAGATGCCCTTATCTGAACTGGTGGTTTCCTACTGGAGGAAAAGGAGGCACCCTGTCAAAGTTACCAGCAGAGGAAGTGGAGAGAGTGAGCTCATACAAGCACCTTGGGGTCTGACAGCAATAAAAACAGGCCTGGTCACATCACACTGGCGCCCTCTTCAGGCAGGGTGAGAGCACACTATCCTCCCTGAGGAGACTCAGATCTTTTAGTGTGTGTGTGTGCAACAAGCCCCTGAATATCTAATATCTGTTTTATCAGTGTTGTAGCAGCACACTATTCTTTGCTATTGTGTACTGGGGTGGTACAGTAGCATCGAGGCTAGTGAGATCAGCAGACTTAATAAGCTGGTAAGGAAGGCCAGATCTGGAACGGGACAGTCTGGAGGCAGTGGCAGAGAGGAGGATGAAGGGCAAAATTAAAGCTATCCTAGATAGCCCCTCTCAACCCCTCTATTACGAGCTGAGGCAGGTGGGCAGCTCGTTCAGCTAGTGGGTCATCCCACCCAGGGGTGAAACTGATCACCTCAGGCGTTCCTCTGTACCTGCTGCTATCAGACATGTACAACAGCAGTGTAAACCACAGGCTTTTCACAGAGTCTAGGACACTTACACTTGTCTCCTGTTCCACTGTTTCACTGCTGGACTGCTGAATTACATAGCTATCATGTATACAGTATGTTAGTATTTTCTGTTATATATTATACTATATCTATATTATGTTATACCACACCTGCTATATTACACTTCCTGCATTATACTACCTTAACCTGCTACTATATCTCATACCCCATAACATCATAATTTATCATATTGTGCTGAATTATGTTCTGTTTTCTGATTTGTGCATCATATTCCATATTATATTCAAATTACATCTCTATGTACAAATAAACACAAGTCATTATTTAATGAAATCTTCATGCTTTGCTGACTCTGTTGCTTTTAATCACAACTGTCTTTTTAATGATACCACGGTCAGTTTACCTTGTAGTTTTTGTTTCTATATGTTCTTGTATAGTTTGTCTATTTTTGTTTGTTTGTTTTTATCTATTTTTATTTTCAAGTTCAATGTAGTCTCACAGTGCAGTCATTACGTTCACAGACACAGCCCATGCATAACTGTCTTGCAAAAGAGTCCTTGGAGCTCGGGATCTTTTCAAAGACCATTTTTGATTCCCACTATCCTCAGGTGTAAGGAAAATACACAATGGGTAAGAAAGAGCACACTAAAACAAAAACAAACAAACAAAAATAAAATTAAATAAAATATTATTATGTAAAAAAAAGGAAAATCATAACAGTCAAAAAGTGAACTATACATTAATATTAATAGTCTCTAAAAGCAAGGTCAGGGTCCAGTAGATCACATCATATAAAAAGCTATTAGATAACAGGTGCCCATTTAATTTGAAATATATCTGTTTTTAATTACAGTCTAGCAGTTATACTTTCATACATCCCTAATTTTCTCCCTTTATTGTGTTACTGTGGGGGTCTGTGGCCTCAGCCAGGAAATTGTGATCATCTTCTTCGCAATTAAAAGAAGGATCCTCAGTATGGATGTATTGTTATTATACTCTACATCAGCAGGTAGGGATCCTAATAAGAAGTAAGAAGGTTCTACAGGTAATATTATATCCAAACATTTTTAATCTCATTTTATATAGGCCTAGGCCAACCACTTATTATTCTTTTACTTTCTTTGTATGTACCATTGCTGTCTTTGTGCTAAAGAATTTCTTTGTTATGTATAACTTGTTGCATTACAATCAGGAGCTGTAGACACACACAGGCTGTTACATACAGGTGGACTGCTGGGTGAAGTAACGTACCTGTTAACGTCGAGCAGCCACGGTGCACGGTTAACAGCATACATGTTTACATACTTCCATACAGTATTTATCATGTTGTGGCAAACGTCTGTCACAGAGACATCTAGTGGTAGGAATCGGCATTGCAGTTTACTATGTGATGAAAGCAGCTGTTTTGCAACAAATAAATAATGTGGGCTTTTTATTTTGATAAAGACGGGCTTCGGCAAACAGTTAAAATGATGGCTCGGGATATATTGTGTCTTGAATGTGTCTGAGGGGGAAAAACGATAAAATGTATTCAACAAGTGATCGTTCACAGATATCGGCGTGTCAATAAAGTTGTTTCAAACTGATGACGTCGTGGATTCCACGTTGGCCCGGACGTGGCAGTCGGCAGTCGTCTTGTGTGGAAATCAGAATAACTGGATCAGTGTAAAACCAACACACGTCGCCTGTGCTGTGGCTAATATCGGTTCTTCTGCCATAGATTGAAACACCATCGGCCAGTAATGGGGCTCACAATCTCATCCATCTTCGAACGGATCTTCGGCAAAAAGCAAATGAGGATTTTGATGGGTGAGTGAAAGCGGTGTCTGGCTGACGAACGTCAGTGCGAGGCACGGCGGTTAGCTTTAGCATTAGCTAGATAAGTAGTTAGCTAACATTAGTTCTTTATGAGCTTTTAACGGCGGTGTAGTTATCAAACTTTTACAGTACAGCATTTGGGACAGGAGCGGAATTAAAACGAGCTATTTTATTTGTTGTAAACGTGGAGTAAAATACGAAAAACTAGCTTTCCCACCACGCGCTAAGTTAGCTAAACGTCGGGTGTTTTTTTAAAGGAAGTTTGGCAATGGAGTCTCCTAACGTCAAAGAAAACGAATTAAATTTAAAGAATACGTCTTTACATTGTAACAGTTTTCAATAAAATGAGTTTGGCTCGAATTGTTGAGCGTGTCTGTCGTGTAATAATTACTTTCTTGCAGTAACTTATTTCTAGTTGGGCCATAATAGCCGTTTCTTGATAATGTATTTTAAGCTAGCTCTTATTAGTTTGCCTATCTTTTTTTGACGGTGCCTCGTCATAGCTCTTTTCTACCATGTTTCACTTGTTGCCGTGTAATGCTAATTATCTCCTGACGTTTGATGGACAAGTGCCATTGTGTTGCGTTGATCTTCAGTTTGTTTCCGGATAGTTAGGGAGTAATGTGTCCTCGACGATGTTAATTACATATGGATCAGCTTTAATATTATGGGATGTTACCATATAATACTAATTGATTAGAATTGCTCAGTACACATGATTGGCTGTGCGCAGTCACATGTACACCGTCATTACATGTCATCAGTTTTCTGATGATTAAACCTACAGGAAAACGCCTGTTACGCAATGAACAGCTGGTTGTCAGCCATTGCTCTATCCATCCTGATATATACATGTTGATTTCTAATCACACTTTTTCCTCTTCTAGTTGGGCTGGATGCGGCTGGTAAAACAACGATCTTGTACAAATTGAAGCTTGGTGAAATTGTGACCACCATCCCAACCATTGGTAAGAAATATCCCAGCAGTTACTTTAAAGTTCTTTTATTATCCTCTGTATTATTTAATGCGTTCCCTTAACATGTTTAACTCATTGAACTTTGTGGACAGTGTTCTCAAGATCTTTGCCCTTTCTCTCCCTTGTGAAGGTTTCAACGTGGAGACAGTAGAATATAAAAATATCAGCTTCACTGTTTGGGATGTGGGCGGCCAGGACAAGATTAGACCCCTCTGGAGACATTACTTCCAGAACACACAGGTATGGGTGTGACTGCCTCAGTGCTGCAGGACAGCTTTGGTTTCATGATGCAACGTTAAGCCCATGTTTAACATAATTTAACTACAGTGTCAGGGAGGAGCAGTCAGAGCATGCAAATACTTACACTCAGATCATCAAGTGAAGCTGGTTCAGAACAATACTTTGATCAGTCACTATCAAAAATACTGTATTGATCCCTGAGGGGAAATGGTGTTTAGTTACAGTCACTCCAATGTAAAGAATAGAGCATTATAAGAGGTAAGAATAGGAATACGAAATTAAGATTAAAGCAATACAATTAAATAGAAATGAAAATGTGCAAATTTCAACTACAATATCTACATCAATAGAATAAAACAAGAATAGAATAAGAGTAAACATAAGAAATGTGCACAGTTATTTGCATTGTATGTTGATGAACTCATGTCATCAAAGTATAGTGCCACTTAACGCAAGTTTCACTCATCTATTCATTTTAATACAAGTTTTTGCAGCCCATTTGTCAACAAGGGCTTTCATCTGAAACAGGTTTATCCTCTGGCTACATTGGTGCTGTTGATAAAAGAGGAGTGTAATGCTCACATTTCAAACTATATACTTATACTCTTTTATGTAGCCTCATACTTTTTTTCAAAATACTTAATCGAATCAAGAAATACAACTGTTGCTCTCCTTCCTGTGCCTGTTTTTTTTTACCCAGATCAGTCCTGCATCAGCCAAGATGCGTATTGTGATATGAACAATTGGTAACATTGCATCTCCAAATTTCGTCATAAATATTTCCTCTCTACCAGTCAGTTTTGTAGTTGTTGGATCTTTGATCATGTTCAGTAATTGACAATTCTTTGTACATTACTTAACTCACTATAATTAGCCTAAATAGGTCTGCTTCTAAAGATTATTTCATTATAGATCAATCTCCAGGTTATTTTCACATTTTATCAATAAATTTTTGTGTGTAAAATGTGAGAAAATTATGTCGATCACAGTTTCTCAGAGTTTGAGGTGACATCTTCAAATGTCCATACCCAAAGATATTCAATTCACAATCGCAGAAGGTCAAAGAAAGCTGCACATATTCACATAGCTGGACCCAGAGAAACCAAAAATGACTGTAAATTTATACTATATTAAATAGTTGTAGATTTATTTTCAACCGTTACAGTTCTGAAATTAAGAAAAGGGAAAGTGATCACTTGGATGCTTTTTTGTTTGTTTTCTTGTAGGGGCTCATCTTTGTGGTGGACAGCAACGACAGAGAAAGAGTGGCAGAGTCTGCAGATGAGCTCTCAAAGATGGTACGTAATTAATATCTAGGGACTGTAATTAAAGAGTGTTCTCTGTAGAGAGTTTCAGTATTTTACATTTTTGTTGTGACATGGGAAGTAGCTGTCTTTGATTTGGAGTTGTCTTATACTGTGATGTAGTTAAATCAGAACTAATGATGAAAATAAAAACAGTAATAACACAGTGTAAACTGTTCAATGGATGGCAGTCCCTCACACCACCAGGATCTGAATATAGTCAAACTAAAACCTGTATGTGTATGTTTGGGTCTCTGTGTGTTGTTCACGGGTAACCCATAGACTTCGAAATGATTTAGATAACCATGTTGGTTTCTTCTGAGCACATCGATACAAATGCCCAGTAGCCTTAATCCTACTATAGTTGCCTTGTACTGTGTCAGTGTTGCTGACGTAGCCTATTCATTACAATGGGTGTGGTCACCTTCTTCATGAGTCACCAAAATATTCTGAAGTGGAATCATTTTTTATTGTCGCTGCCTCGGTGTATGAACTACAGCCAGTGTTAACATGTTTGGGCTGTGCTTTTAATCAGTCATTTGCATTTTTGCAGCACATGGTCTGACTGCATTGTTATAAACCACTGAGAATGTTTTTATGCATGTCGGTCTATAGGTTGATTTTGATACTCTTCAGTTTACTGCACTGCGCACCAACTGGGTTTGTTGGGAAATGGCATCGGCACGCATTTGGTGATTACCGTTAGTAACGCTGTCCCCACCCAACAGTGTCAGCTCTGTTAGCACCATTAGCAGTGTCAGCATGCTAAGTGTTGCTAACATAGTTAACAATGCTAAAGGGGTTTTACGGCTTGAAAGATGGCCGCTCACTAACCAGGGCTACCTGGGAGAGACTGGAGAGTAGCCACCATGTTTCTGCTGCCGTCCTAGTGCTGGGACAGCGTCACCAGAGGTAATCAACAAATGAGCATTACTACTAGTTAGCTCCTGCCCAACCTGCACATGTTAACATGGCAAGTTGGCTGATTGTCAGCAAAGCCACCAGCCAAAGTAAAATTAAAGGCAAGACATACAGCACATTCATGAAAGTTTCACCACCTCTAAATGGATAGCACTTTGAAATGCAGCGCTAAAGCTCACAGAGTCAGTGAAGCCCAGGACCAAAAGGAACCACCTCTTATATTTATCAACATTTTGCTGTTTTGTTTTGTTTTTTTTTGTTTTGTTATGTTTTTTTGGTATTTCTTTAAGATTAACCAGGTAATTACCAACCAGATTTTTACTAGAAGATGAGCAGGGAGATCTGGATGCTGGCAAGATGATGGAAAGTTTACTATAGTTCATTTACATATACTACCCACTAGGGATGGGTATCGTTAAGATTTTTTATAGATACTACTACTTTTATCGATACTACTTATCGGTTCTTTTTCATTTCTATTTCGTGAGAGGCTGCAGGATGATTATGAATAATACCAAAATGTTAAAATGTACCGATAAAAGAACTAATAATGTCAGAGCTTATCAATACTATGGTCTTTAAAAATGAATACCGGGTTTCAGTACCCATCCCTACTACCCACATGTTCAGGATACAAAGTGAAAAACATCCCTCTTAAAGACTCACATCAAAGAAATAATATTAGCGCACTGTAAATTTAAGTATTAAATAAAATCACACTTTTATCTGTTTGTAGTGTTTTGGTCATAATATGAAATCTCAGAGTTGATGTTCTAATCTGTTTTCTTCCTCCCTAGTTGAATGAGGACGAGTTGAAAGAGGCTGTTTTGCTGGTGTTTGCTAACAAACAGGACCTTCCCAACGCCTTAACAGTCAGCGAACTCACAGACAAACTTGGTCTACACAACCTCCGCAGAAAAACTGTAAGTAATCTGAATAAACATGCTCCCTACACCTGCAGTAAGAATCAAATCTGTAAGCACGTGCACAGAGCTACATTCATACCTAATACTTAATAATCTCTGACCCCCCAGTGGCACATTCAGCAAGCCTGCGCCATCCAGGGCGATGGGCTGTATGACGGACTTGACTGGCTATCCAAAGAGCTGTGCAAGAACTAAAGAAGGATCAGCTGGACAGATGAGAGAGAGAGAAACTGAACTCCACAGGACAGGAGAGAAGGCACAGACATTCAAAACCAGAAAAATTTGGTCTTCCAGCACCAATGTTCACAAAAAGGACAAGGCTGGTGGACGATATATAATCATCTTTGGGAAATTTTAATATTACATGTTTTTTCTTTTATTATCATGCTATTACCATATTATCTCTTGACATAGTCTTTATTTTTTTCCTTTTCTTCCCAACTCTTACATGGCAGCAGGTTGTAATTACACATTCAGTTGCATGACGAGCAAATGGTCTATTAGGGAAATCTCATGGAAACAGTGAATAGAGTGATGGGAGTTGTATTTTTGTTTGACACCTGGGCTCCTGTTTAGGCAGCATTTGCAGTAATTGAGTACATATATAGCTGTTCATCTCCACAACCCCTTGTGGATATTAGACTCCCTCACAGACCTGACCCTTTGCTCTTCACTGCTGTGTCTCATGCCAACTCATTTCTGTAAAGGCCTGCAGCTCGTAGAGGGAGATGGATGGGGATTGCGGCAATTTCATAGATAGATTTTGTTAGTCGTGCGGGGCCTCCCAGTAAATGGATCCAAAAAGGAACACGGTGCCTTCTGGTCCCTCTTAACACAAATCTGAGTAATCCTTTCCTTTATCTTATTCTGAGGTCATGCTTACTCGTGAGATGCTTTAGTGACTTTTTTGCTTTTGAAAGATAAAATAATGCAATAAGACACTTCCTTTTGTTTTGCAATGTGTGCTGTGGTGCAGCAGTACCACACCAGTGTGAGAGTAGTCTTTACAACTTCACCATCAACCAGGGTTTTGTCCAGTTTGAACATTTGTAAATTTGTCCGCACTCCTCTTCCTTCTTTTTTTTAACACCCACCATGAAAAAAACGATCTAATTTAAAAGTTAGTTCTTTGTCCGCTCTTTCTTTAAATCACTTTTAACGCAGAAAAGGGGGAAGGAAGTGTCTTTCCAGTGTTGACACATGGCCAATGTCAGTGTGACACAGTAAAGTAGCATGTTTCTGTTGTTGTTTTTGTTGTACTGTCTCAATGCAAATACTGTATTATATTCTTAATTATTCTACCCCTCTTAAAACACAAAAACATATCTGCCCATGAGCTTTTTTTTGTGTAAACATTCCACCTTATGCTTGCAGATGCTGAAGCTGCTGCTCTTACAATTATTCGCGAAAAATATTTTCCACAAAAAAGCTCTGAATAAAAATGGTGTAAAAACAAAACAAGTTTGCGTTTTTGACTCCACTCATTGTTGAAGTCATTTTACCCATTCAGAATATTTTAACACTTCTTCATTTTCTTCTTTCGTCTTCATTTGTTTCAAAATAACTCACTAAAAAGCTCAACTGGCATCTTCTATCAGGAACTGTGCCTGATAAGAGGAAGTGTATGAGCTGTTAGGGTCTGTGACAGATCTTACTTTGAAACCACTACACTGTTTAAAACTTCTTTCATCTTGTTCATATATGTTTGTCTAAGCAGGGGGATTGTCTGACTCTATACCACAACATGTACTGCTACTGCATGTTGAAAATAGCCCCAGGCCAGTAGGCTTATTTTGCATAAGAAGTAAAAGGTTATGGGTGTAAATAAGCTGTCACGTAGCTCCTGTTACAGCTGTAAACTCACACATAGAGAGCTTAAAGCAGTATATATCTAAACTGCCCATCAGTGCTATGCCTAAGCAAAGCCAACATGACCTGACCTGCAGTTGATCTTTGTTCTGACCTCTAATGACATTGGATGATACCTAGGAAATGAATGCAGCAACAAGAACAGACTATGTAGGACGGTCATTTCTGTCCCACTGATAGAGAAATAAATTGGCACCAGGCTTAGAATGATTTCACATACACAGCACTGTTGTGTGTAATATTTCCTTATGCAAAACTAGTTTATGTAAAGTTGATATATTATCAGTAACATCTGACATACTCTAATAATGTAGCACACCCAATTATTTTTTAGTAAGACTGATGTTTTAATGAAACATCATTTTGTGTAATCATGACCATAGTACAGGCCTGAGTTATATCTTTCGCAACCTGCCTCTTGGACCATTACAAATGTGGGGGGTACACCAACAATTTAATCAAATATAATTAACAAAAGCAAATTAATTAAATACATTCTTATAACATTAATAATATGTGTTGTGTGAGTCTCAGTGGAAATAGGGAGTGCATGTGCATTAGGGACAAGGTAAGGTGTTGTAAGGTGCATGAAAGAAGAAAAGGGATACTGTAGTAGACTTACACTGCCGTCCTCACTCGACTGTCGGTGTGCCTGCAGGACACGAGAAAAAAATACATCTCCATCATTATCACGCTGTTCCCATTGCTGCACTGCAGGGGGCGATATGTCCAGAGCTGCTCCAGCAGAGGTGGAGTTCAGCCTGTTATTCTTTCCTGCTTTGTCCTGCTTAGGATGAAGATATTCTAGTGAAATAAATTTAGTGTATGTTAGTAAGTCAGATTTTTAAATTGCTTCTTAACATATTGTTCTTTTTTGGTCGTTATTCCACTCATCCACAGTGTGTTTAAATCTGTTCAGACAGTTGGTAAGTGGTTGAAGGGAGAGACAGTGGCGGAGCGTTTGGAGACAGGATACACACACACACACACACACACACACACACAATATTTTAAATGCAACCCTTGCTTTTGCTCCCATTTTCACAGGTTAAGTTAAAGATCTAAGACTTTTTTATGAACTCGGTAGATATGTTTCTCTCAAATTTGGTCACTAAAAAATTCACTTCTGTGAGCACTTCTCCTTTTTCAAGATGATCTATTCACCTGACAGGTGCTGCATATGAAGATGCTGATTAAACAGCATCATTACTAAGCAGGTGTTTGGAATGGTCACCATAAAAGGACACTACAAACATGCAGTTTGATCACACAACACGATGCCACAGATATGGCAGGTTTTGAGAGAGTGTGCATTGGCATCCCGACTGCAGGAATATCCATCAGAGCTGTTGCTTCTAAACTGAATGTTAATTTCACTACTTTAAACAGTCTCCAAATTTGTCTCTGTGAAGTACATCCAACTGGCATCATAACCGCAGAACACGTAACCAGCTCAGGACCTCCACGTCCAGTGTCTTCACCTGCAAACTGTCAGAAACTGTCTCAGAGAAGCTCATCTGCATGCTTGTTGTCCTCACCAGGGTCTCGACCTGACAGTGGTTCATCAGCGTAGCCAACTAGTGTGGCTGTGAGGCCTGTTGGATGAACTGCCAAATTCACAGAAATGACTTCGGAGACCGCTCATGGTAGGGAAATGAACATTCAGTTGACGGCTCTGAACAGCACTGATGGACATGCCTGCAGTCAGAATGCCAATGACACACTTCCTCAAAACATGGGACATCAGCGGCATCGTGTTGTGAAATCAAGCTGCACATTTTAGATTGGCCCTTTATTGTGACCATCCCAAGGCACACCTGTGTGATGATGATGATGCTGTTTAATCAGCATCTTGATATGCAGCACCTGTCAGGTAGATGAATAAACTTGGAAAAAGAGAAGTGCTTTCTAACATGGATTTTAACAAAATTGTGACCCAACTTTGAGAGAAATATATTGGAGTGCATAAGAAAAGTCTTAAATCTTTATATATACACAGTGTTGAGGAGTAACTAGTTGCACGTAATTAAATTGCAAAATAAATGTAATTGTAATCAGTTACTGAGAAAAAACAGTAATTAAATTACAGTTACTAATTAAGATGTGGTTGATTACAAAGTGTTTTTTGTGCATTATTTCTGGAAATCTTTCAACTTTGTTTTCCAGTTTAAAACATTTGTTAGAAAAATAATCAAATGTAAAAAGTTACATTACATACTACATTTTTAACAGGATAACTAGTAATCTGTAACCTATTACATTTTTTTTATAATTGCAGGACATTACATTACATTAAAATATAATGTTTCTCAGTGAACACAAAACATATCTGTGCTTTTTGACAGTTGTGAGATCAACAACTTATATTTTCTTGGCATCAAGATGTAAAGTAAAATCATGTCTGAAGCTTTAGGTGGTGCCAGGTAATTAGGACCTTCACACACAATGTTTATAGCAGAAGGTATAGGCATTAAATAATCGGCTTGCTATGATGTGTGAATGTGTGTCCTAATGTATTTATGACAGCTAATCAGGCTTAGTGGAGCTGGGTCAGCGCATAGTTTTGTCAGTGTGTGTATCTGTAAGGAGCAGGGTGGGTTAGCACAGCAGAGCACATGTGTGTTCTGCTACTATCAGCACCCTTTTTCTTCAATTTTCTCTGAGGATACATTAAATGGGATTTACAGCTTCACTGTGCAACTTAATCAAAAAGGTACGTTTAAATCTGATTGCATTATATTGCATAGAATGTGATATATTCACTGTATACTGGATGAGTCGCTATTTCTGATATCCCCTCCAGCTCAGTGACTTTTTTATTTTCAGTAATAATAGTACCTAAGTAACAGCACCCAACCGCAACAAATGTCACTGTGACAAGCTGTATCTCTGTCAAGTGTGGGAAGAAGGTCACATGAGGTTTCCAGCTGGCCTACTTGGAGCATAGTCCTTAACATCTACAGTGTGATAGCTCATGCTGATCTCAGGGTTTCCCCTGGTGCAGGATGATGCCGACCTTTATACCAGTACCCCAGCCTTCCTACTCCCAGGCCAGGGAGAACCTGGTGAAGGCTATTCCACCCAAGATCCTCTGTCTGTTGGCCTGCGGAGGGAAAGACTGCCGCTATGAAGGACCAGAGTGCTGGAAATTAAATCAGCAGGTCATCCGAGGCCTTTTCTCCTCCTGGTGAGACGGTGTCACTGCAGCTGTGTTGCGTGCTGTTTCAAAAACATGAACTGGTAATTTACAGATTATGAACTTCTTCCCATGGCAGGGTGACAGATGACATTATTGCCATGGCAAGACCATCCAAGTGTCTGATTGAGAAGTACAACATCATAGACCAATTTCAAAGGTAATCACTGTTGCTCATTATTCCTGTGTTGTGTGTGCTGTTCTCCTGTGTGTCTGTGCAGTGTGTGGTTATGTATGATACACGAGAAGCTGTAAGAATTATGAGCCTTCTTGAAAGGTGTGACAACATTGTTATCGTACAACTCCCTGTGCACATACAGGTAATAAATAGGAAACAAAGTGGGGAAGGGATCAAGATTAGAAATATTAGATTAGACAGATTAAGAAAAAACCCTCTGTTACTTTCTATTGGGTGAATGAGGGTCTGACATCATTACTTTTATTATTACACTAATCAATTTTTCCCACTGTGGACATATTATTACTTTATTAGTATAAGAAATATTACCTTTGAGTGGGCATGATATCAGTGGATATTCAGGGCCAAAAAAATTCACAATAACATTATTGCAATATCTATAGAAAATGTAAAATAATAATCACCTTTTACTCTGATTACTGTGTTTTAGGTCACTTCTTTTGGCAAATAATTTACCATAAAAAATTCAAGTGTAGGTTGGTGGAAAGGGAGACAACGCAAGAACATAAAGAAATGAAAATGATTTGGTTATTTGCCATTTCAATATACTGCGACACCCCTACCTTTGAGACACATACACAGCACCAGTGTCAGTCATTGTCTTCATAATATGACTTTCTCCCAGGCTGAACATCCGATCGATCATCAACATGCAGATACCAGGAGAGCATGCTCACTGTGGACCTCCCCTCGACCCTGAGAGTGGTTTCACATACTCTCCACAGGTCTTCATGGACAATGACAGTGAGATCTCGATACAGTAAATACACAACATGAAAGATTGACTGCCCTTTGTGTGCCACTCACATGGTGGGAAATGTGAGATAGAAACAGTTGAGCTGATGTAATGAGAGTTTTGGTTTGTGCCAACAGGGCAGCAACTAATTAGTGTTGTGTTTCTACATCATAAACTTGCCTGCAAACACAGCTCATCCTTATGAATGTCCATATGCACATATTTGTATTTTTTGCAGTTTACTTTTACAACTTTGGGATGCCAGATTTTGGTGTGTCCTCTCTCGTTGGTGTTATTGACGGGGTGAAGGTTTTGGCCTTTGCAGTAAAGGAAGGAAGAGTGGCTGTGCACTGCCATGCAGGCCTGGGCAGGACAGGTAGGAATATGCACTACTGTTCATATAAACAGTGTGTGTGTCAGGCTGTGCACATTTAGTGCTGTCATGTGTGTTTTCTTGTGTGTTCTTGCTGCCTAACAGGTGTCCTGATAGCCTGTTACTTGATTTACACCCTGCGCATCAGCCCTAGTGAGGCCGTCCATTACGTACGGATTAAACGGCCACGCTCTATCCAAACCCGTGCACAAATCAGCCAGGTGTTTGACTTTGCTCGCCTGCTTGGCACACAACTGGTGCAATACCCGGACCTCAGCCTGCGGCACGGCGCACCTTTCACCCTGCAGCACTACCTAAACCGACAGGCAATATTGCTGCATGGCCTGGAGGCACGCACCCTCAGACACACACCCAAGGTCAGAGCTTTATCATTACATTAACCCTTCATCATGAATATATCTAAATACACTGTGCAACAGTTTACATCCCCCTTCTTTTTTCTCCATTAGGTGGTATATCTTCTGTGTGTGCATCTCTCCTGCTTGGCCCTGGGTCTCCCTGCTCCTCCAGAGATCCAGGCCGAGCTGGAGAAGAGGTCAGCACTGAGGACCCTGAACAGGGCTGTGAGGGAGACCCTGGTGTCCAAACAGTACTTGCCCTTACTGAGGGAGGGTCATAAGGGCTCATGGGCGGGTTCAGGGTCAGTGTCCTCCTGGGACGAGCCACTGGGATTCTTGGAGAGGAAGAGAGAAGTGCTGCTAGACAAACGCAGCTACAGCGACTCTGACCTCAGCAAGATTGCAGTAAATGAGGTGCAGTTTCAGATTATCTGTTCACAGTTACATAAAGTCTCATGAGGCTTTTCTCACTTTGTTGCATTCTGTCCTGAAGGATATGGAGTCAAGCACATACTGCACCCCAGCACTTGGAAGTGAGAGACAGTGGTGTGTACAGGATCTCATACGCTCTGATTTGAGACCAGGTAGTCCGATCCTTGCCACCCTTTCACCAAGTCACCAGACCATCAAAAAGAAATCTCAGACACTCAACATCCCAATATCTAACATAACAACGAGCAACAACTGTGCGAAGAGGTCTAAGTGCACGGCTAAAAAGACACTTGGCAAATACAGCTCCAACATGGAGGTAACTGTGATTCTTACAGTGAAAAATTAAGCCAGTAAAGCCGGCTTCAATGTGAATGCTTTAAAATATTTTCATATTTTTATGTCATATATAGCTGTGCAGAAATCCACATAATCCAGGCCCAACTGCAGTCGCCCGTGCTATTGCTAAGGCAATGGCAGACCATGGTCCTCCAGGAGAAATCATCCTGCAAAGATCGGCTCTGCTGCAGGTGAATAACACCGCTGCAAACCTGGTTTCACATCGCAACATGTCACTTTGATCTTGAGCTCTAGAGCCATTGAATTAATACAGTCACTTACCTTTCCCAACAGGAGGAGCTAAACAGTAGCGACTGTGGCTGGGCTCTGCTGGTCACTGAGTCAGATCCTCAGGTTCTCAGTTGTCTGTTGTGGACCTGGCTGGACAAGTTAAGGGTCAGTGGCATCAGACAGGAGGGAATGATTCCAGTGTTTTCAGTTTATGAAGTAAAAAATACACCTTGATGTGTTGCATCTCCGTTTACACTCCCCATACTGTGGTAACGTCCCGTCTCTGTCTCTTCAAACCTCATCCAGGAGCCTGTTCTGAGTGCAGAGGATGTAGACAGGTTGACCAGTGGAGCGAACAACAGGAAACCTCTCAGTGTGCTCAAGAAGGTAAAGAAACACGTGTGTGATGATTCACCTTTGACTCTTGAGTATTCTTCTTAAGACTCCTTTACACTCTAAAACTCGTATGCAAAGATTTAAAATGTTGTTCAATATGACATCATTACAGCCACAGAGACACACCATCTATTGTCTACTGAGCTGTGTGAGTACAGTGACCAACCTGTGTCCACACAGAGAGGAGGCAGTGCTGCAGCGACTGATGCGGGCCCTTACAAGGGTGAGACACGTCGAATTATAGCATGTTGAAGTTGTGCAGTTCCACAAGAAACCATTTAATATTGTTCAATAATTTGCCTTTTTTAAATATCACCAGCGCCCCCAGGAGGCAATGGGAAACCTTGCGACTCTGATGAAGGTCCTGAAGGCGAGTTTGAAAGAAACCTTCCACAACTACAGATACCTCACAAGGGCCTGCAGCACCAATGCTACAATTTGAAGCATGCTTTGCGTTCCAGTACCCACACTACCATACTATATAGTATACCAGAAAAAGATTTAGTGTGTCCCAATATGTAGTATGTCAAATGCAGTATGTCAAAAATGCCAGGATGGTCTACTACTGTTGGTCCAATTTTGCAGTATGCAAGCCAATATGCTTTTCTGGTTCTTCTGACCCACAATTCTCTGCACAGCGGACGACACGACACATCGACTGAGTGAGCAGCAGAGAGATAACAGCTTGATGGCTCATTGACAGCTGTTTGACAGCTGACTGACAAGCTGCTGTCAGAAGTTGCAATGACAGATGACAGCGCATTCAAGTAACTGATGACCAGTCGAAGAGTAATAATAGTAATATTGATTAAGTTGAAAAAAATTAATAATTAAATATTACAAACAACAATAGAACATAACTATTAAAATATTAATTGGCAGAGAACTGCAGATGTATGAGGGATTCAGGGCGTAATGTTATGAGACAGTGGTATGTCCTGTGTGCATACTGCATGCAACAGTACGTACATTTTGAGGGCAGCTGCAGCACCTACTAAAAGTAAAAAGAAAAAGTATGTGATGCGGAACGCACATGGACTGATTACTGAAAAGGCCTACTGGGCACAGGCCCAGGGGCCCAAAGTGTCAGGGGGCAACCCTGGCCTTCACCTGCAACATGTCACTCAAGTTAACAGCTACTGATCAAGAAGAGACACAAATGACCAATAAAGACACCATATTACCTCAAAGAGACACAAAACTACCAAAACATGCAGAGAAATTACAAAAATATGCAAAACAACAACAAAAAAGAGGCAAAACCACCACAAAGCCTGTGTGTTTGCAACTACGACATATTAAAATGTTTGCTGTGAAAAGGGCAGATTAGAACAAGTCTTTTTGGAGCCCTTGGCAAGATTTGGCCTTTGGAGTACCCCACCAGCTCTTACTGACACCATCCAGTTCACAAAAAAGTAACCAACCACCAGAAAATGTCTTTCTCTATCTTTTTAGATTTATCAAATAAACTGCCAACCATGTATTAAGTATGATCTCCCCAATCTTGTCTTAGCCTAATCTAAGTTTATCTGTTATGTTTGGCGCTAAAATGTTGTGTTTGTGTTGTTTTTTCTTGTACTTTCACACACTATCACCACACACAGGAGGGCGACAAATGTGCAAAAATATACTAATCATTAAAAAAGAAACATAAGAGCTCATAGATTTTTACGCTTAGATCCCTTCTCTATCTTTTTCAAGAATTTGTGTGGCTTCAGTTGATACAGAAGATTGATCCCTCAGACCCACAATATGAATCTGGATGTATCCTTGAAACCACAATTAACTGAGTTTAAAAAAAGAAAAGAGAAATAACACCTTATAAAACCCCTAATGTAGAATTCAACAACGACACTAATACATTTACTGTAGGCTCATATATTTGTTTCATGTCTACTTTAAATAGTATGTAAGCTACTGTACCTTAGTACCAGTAGACTGAATCCAAACAGTGTGTCCACAGTGTGACCCTGTGGCCTGTGTCAGCCTTTCATGCCTAATAAATCATTTACACCATCTGCATACTGTGTTTTCTCTTATAACATTATCGGGAAATTCCTTCACTTGACCTGCACTGTTGCAATACACAGCACATATTAAACATGCCTGTCAGAGAGACGTCTCCACGACAGCGTTGTCATAGTGAAGCTGACAACAAGCACTAAACAATCTGTGTTTGGGTTCAGTGCACATGCTGAGTTCCTGGGATCTCACCGTAATACCCTGACACACAGAGAGGCTCACAGCAACATCAGGATACTCATGAGGTAAAATGATCTATCTATTTATTTTAGGTCACTAAACTGATAGCAAGTTATTGATTTGTACGTACTTGGTAGACATCTTGTGGTTTTGTTACAGGCTACTGTAGGTGTATGATACCTGTGTTCACTTGGTGAACCATTAGTTAAACTTTACCCACATATCACCATTAAACAGTAGGCCTTTATTCCAGCGTACAGTTAGCTCATTTGAGTTAGCCAGTAGCTAGCTCAAAATGTATCTCATTAAATGGCCTAAACAAGTGACAGTGCTGTCAGGTTCACTGCTCTGTAACTAAAGTGTAAGATTAGATGTAGTGCTAGCTTTCATATGTGTGACAAGTGGAACTAATATGACTAAATTATAGATTTTAGATGTTTCTTTGTTTTCCTCTCAGTGATTGTATGTTTTTTTTAAAATACACCCTAAATAATTAATTCAGCTAATTATATATTTACATGGTAAATGTGATAAAATGAAATAAAACTAAACTAAAAACGTGTTTAACATTCAAATTTTTTTTAAAAAAATCACAGCTAAAGGGTGTTTCCTTATTTTGTGACAAACAAAACTTTCTATAACTTTCTAGTGCTTCACATCCAGCTCAAATGAACACATGCTGCTGCTTATTATTATTCAAAAACATCTGCTGTGATTGACAGTTCTGCTGTCCATGGTGACATCACACACTGAGGAGCAGTTCAGAATGATGCACAGTGTGTACATGTGAACTTCCATCAGTACCTTCAGGCTTTAACTGCCCCTAAATAACATTTCTAACAATAAAATACACATAATACGGCCTCTTACGGAGCTTGTTGCTACAAGTCCCAGTTATTTGCAGCACAGAATCTAAAGAAACATTTACTAAGTTTGGAGTAGACTCTAATAAAACCTCAAGCACCAGTCAGACCTGTTAGAGATGCTAATGAGGGCTAAATTTCCCATTCAAAGGAAATGTGTGCCAAGGGACCTTTAGAGGGCAAGTGAGCCAATGTGCATAGGAGTCATAAATTTGATATTTTTTATGCTACAACCATGGATGACAGCAGAAGTGCTCCAAAAGCTAATTAATGAATATTCCCTTCCTTACAATCCATCTCTCTCTCAGGGTAATGTCAAGTACTGAACCTTGGGTTGGGACCTGGAGGCCCCACAAGCCAAGAGGGCCCATAGCTGCCCTCTATGGCAGCCCAGGGCCCAAGTATGCACTGCCTGGACTCACAGGTATAGCCAGAATGGCCGTTAAGCTTTTTTTTCAACCACCAACACCATTATTATGATTAGTACTGACACTGTCTGTCCTTGTTTCCGCCATAAAGGAGTTTCTCAACATGACCCCACTAAATACAAAGCACCAATGTTCAGCTTTGGGGCACGTCATGACCGCAAGCTAGAGAGCTCCCCTGGACCAAGCTACCTCATCCCCTCCAACATCACCAAAGTGGGCAGAGACGGCACTCCTGCGTTTTCACTCCACAGCCGTCCAAAGGAGCCACAATTGTTCCAGGCTCCCGGACCAGGTCAGCCAACCCCTTCACACATAACTGATTTTGTAAAAGCGCATGGAATTAAAACGCTGCTGATCTCAAATCTCAGACTACGCACTGAAATCTGACATTTAAATGCACACTGTTGTCATCTGAGTTTGCCGGTCAGCAGTGTTTTTAAACACACTTCCTTGCTGTTTTAGGCAAATACTCCCCAGAGCGTTCAGTAAAGGCGATCTTCCACTCCGCTCCTGCTTATTCTCTATCTGGGAGGGGCAAAGACATCAACACTATCCAAACACCAGGTACCGTATTTGGTGTCAACTTTATTTAAGCTGTGGGTAATAAAATTCAATGTTGCATGGAGTATACATTTCACCTGTAACTCATTCTGCAGGTCCAGCCTCCTACTCTCTGCCCCCAGTGCTGGGAGACAAAACTGTGGCCACATCTGCAGCTCCCACCTTCTCGTTTTGTGGCCGCAGCAAAAACGGAAGCTTCCATGAGGACCTGAAGAAGGTCCGTATGAATGTCATGACAATAATTTCCTTAAAAAATATGTAGAACTCCTTACACTTTTTCTCTATACATTTGTTCCCCCTCCAGACTCCTGGCCCCGCTGCCTACAAAGTTGTGGACCCTTGTATTTACAATAAAAAACCTCCCCAGTTTAGCATGACAGGCCGCAACTTCCCACCCAGTGAAACCACAAAGAAACCAGGACCTGGCGCACACTGTCCTGAGCAGGTAAGAAACCTCACTGGGGCTTTGACGAAATATTTTGCATTTGTTCCTTTGCTGACGTTTTTTCTCTTCCTAGGTGACCTTCACAAGAGCAAAAGCTCCGAGCTTCTCCTTTGGACTACGTCACTCGGAGTTCATCGCGCCCCTCATCATAGATGTGCCTGAATAATCACACATCATCTCATTTCAACCAGAAATTCACACAGCATAAAACAAAAAGCACAATAAAGCTCAGAAAGCAAACTGTGCAGAATTATTGAGATCAGATTATATCGCCACAGTTGAAAGGACCCACTGTGTTAGTACATGTCACTTTGTCAGGGTTATGACCACTATCAGTATTTGAAGTAAGGAATACTGAATTTAAAAAAAAGGCTTCATGAGTGGCACATGTCTGACATGATTTTTAAGAAAGTATCTTAGACTGGTTTTATTTCCCGAGCTTTTTCTTGTTGGTTCAGAAAACTACTATTTATTTGTGATTTTGTAATTAACATTTTCAGTCAGTACTTTATAAGAATCAATCATAACATGTCATGGCAGGTGTTAATAGTAATATAAAAGATGGCTTCATTCCTTGTAAGTGTCCCAATGAGCCTTGTCAGGGAACCAGCATGCACCATAACGCAAGGCTCTCCTACTGGCCTGACCTGAATGGAATGAAGCCAGTATTAATGCTTTTAGACACACCTGCTGTGTTAGTCAAGAGGGGTCTGTGTTTAGCTGGCACATAAATCATCAGTGTAACAGAGACTATGAAACTATTTTATCAAGAGAAGTGAAATGTTATTTTTATCGAGGATGTTGTGTTACTTCCAATCCACAAAAACCTTTGATGCACTGAAAAAAAATCACTTGTCCTCTACACACCCAATTTGTGGAACTGGATGGTAAATGGACCTGCATTTGTAGAGCGCCTTTTAGTCATCTAGTGACCACTCAAAGCGCTTTATACACTACGAGTCACGTTCACCCATTCACACACTGGTGGCTGAGGCTACCATACATGGTACCGCCTGCTACTCAGTTTTAACACACTCAAACACACCGATGGAACAGCCATCGGGAGCAATTTGGGATTCAGTATCTTGCTCAAGGATACTTCGACATGCAGCCTGGAGGAGGCCGGGATTGAATCGCTGATCTTTCGATTGGTGGACGACCCGCTCTACGTCTAAGCCACAGCCGCCCATTCAGTTCAACATTATATTAAACACTTAAGCAATGACATTATGCACTGCAGTTATTTTAGTATAGAAATGGTAATTGGAATGATTAAACATGGAAAGAATGTTTCTCCAATTATATTGTAGCTTGGACATTATGTCCTAAAAGATGTGATGGGACAAAGAGAAGAAGGGGTATGTTCTTGATGGTTACAGGTAGAGGCAGGGGTACTTTTTTAAAGTCTGGCTGCTGAGTTTGATATTGCTTTTTCATGATATGGGCCTGCAGATGCAGAGCTAACTGCAAGCCCCATGCGGCAATGCCATTTAAATGGGAACATTACCTAAATTAATTACTCAAATATGTTATTTCAGTGGCCTAGGGAAGGTAAATTAATATTTGTGAACATGAGCTACTCTCTCTCAAAGCCAGACATCAGAGAAGAAAGAAGGCTAGGCCAGGCTAGCCATAGGCTGCTCCAGAGACAATGAATGGGAGCCTGATTTTGTGGACCCCCTTTAAAAAAAATAATAAATAAAAAAATAAAAAAAGAGAAAAATAAAATCCTTTGCATTTTTTTTTATTTCCTTGGGACAATAATACAAAAAACTTTTTAAAATGTGTTTTATTTATTAGTTGGTTTTTTGTTTTGTTTTTTTTAAATCAGACCTCATACTTTTTTAAATATAAGCCTCAGCCTAATGGCTGAGATGGCCCTTCATGGTAATGGTAAAACAGTAAGAAAAAAAGTACAACCCATGTACTGTTATAATGCTTTTGACATGTTAATATACCAACAAATATCAGTTTGTTACCATGGAATTAGTAGTGTACCAGTACTAGTAGTATTTTCACGTATGATAGATTAAGACCTACTTTGAAAACATCTCAGAAATGGTCCAGAATTTATATATTTAAGCAATATCACACAAGAGGGAGTGATGTTATACTCGTATATGTGATTGTGCTGTGATTGTCTATGGCCAAATCACAGCCATGACGATATACGAGTATAACATCACGAGCTCGAGTGTGATATTGCTTAATTAACAACAATTAATGTAATCTTTTTTATTTTCATAAAAATGTGAATTTATTATTTTAGCATCACCACCTTTTACCATAAAAGGACAATTCAACCGTTTGGTTGAGCATGGATTTAGACAGTGAAAAAATAAATAAATAAATCATACTTAAACAATAAATTATTTCAGCCTATATGTATTGGATAACATTACATGTTTCATTAAATAACAATGAATGATCAGAAGACTTTTGATTTCTTAGTGAATAGTGACATTAGTTCAACACCATTACATTAACCTTGAAAAGCCAAATGAACCGTTTGGTAGGGCATGTTAAAAAAGTAATATTTGACCCATATACTTCTTTTATTTTTTGTGTTAAAAACATTAAACAAATTGCGTTTCTTTAATTAAAGAAAAAACAAACAAAACAAAAAAAGAGAGAATCTGAGGTCATTCTTGACAGGCACTTGTAAGGACAGCAGGCGCCATGACGAAGGGGTCCTTCAGGCGTCCCCGTTGCATAGAAACGAAAACCGTCGGAGATGAAACAACCACAAACTTTTAATATCCTGATACCCAGATGAATACATGGAACCAACAGACTTTTCCTTGTGATTGAGAAACATAATTAACACAAGACAGTCAGCGACATTAGGATAAGTACTTCTGGTTAAATGCTATCAACGCTAATTCAGTTAGCGGCGCTAACGTTAGCCTCCTTCAGTGCTCAGGGTGAAATGTGGAAGTAACGGTACAGTAATGATACTTTAACAAGACAAATGTAATTATTGATCGTCTCTGTGATATACTCAGCTTCAGCTAGCATGAGTTTTGTCGATGTCAGGACCGAGAACCCGGTGAAATGAGCGATATCTAGCCGAACCACACGATGTGAATCTCGGCTAACTGACGGAAAGCTAGCTAAGACTCATTCTCATTGTCAGTAGCCACCGTATACTAGCTCCTATTGGAGCTCAGGTTGTTTGTTAGGTGTTTATTAATTCAGACAGGCAAGTGTTGACTAATACAATCGTCCCAGGCAAAGCATAGAAAGTTTAATAAAGTACTAAAATGGCTGGCGACATTGGCAGCATCCCTGAACTGGACCAGAAGAAGTACGACTCAGAGGAACAAGTTAAGATCATCTGTCTGGGGGACAGTGCTGTGGGTAAATCTAAGTGAGTATTAGCCGCAGTAATCTCAGGCTTCCTGTAGCTGTTTTGTGTTTTATAATATTTGTAACTTTCCTGAATAGAACATCTATTATTCTGTCTAATATTTCATTGTTGCGTTGACACAGACTGTGAATCTCTTTCTCTCTCCTTAAGGCTGATGGAGAGGTTTCTCCTGGACGAGTAGTATCCTTTTGCAGCATACTAGTGTCAGCCATTTCTGTAAGTCATTATATGTAGTATTATTATAGCCATAACAGCCTCTGTGTGCACATGAACATGCTATTTAAGGGCAGGCCGGCCTGCCTCTGACAAAGCTGTTGAGAGGTTAAGACCCTTAACTGTCTCTGCAGTCGGCCGCAGCAGTTGTCAACCTATGCACTGACTCTCTACAAACACACAGCCACTGTAGGAAACAAGACAGTAGTGGTCGGTATGTATGGTGCAGCTGCTTTTGTTCTGCTGTCAGTGATGACAGGAAAATCACCTGGAAAGCTTAAATCAGCAGGGATGGTTTTTGTTTTTGATTCACAGATTTCTGGGACACAGCTGGTCAGGAGAGATTTCAGAGCATGCATCCTTCGTACTACCACAAAGCACATGCATGCATCATGGTAATACACGCTTTTGGTTTTACGACAGGTGCATTTCAGTACTCATCTTGCTCCCTGTTGGGACCTTGCATATGTGACTGTAAAAAGTATTCAGAAAAGTAAGGATAAATGATTTCAGATTGATTACTTAAACAACACTTTCCATAAAAAGGCCCAAAATATTGTTTAAGCTACACTCTACACTCTGGTTAAAATCCATTTCTCAAGTATACATTTAACTTGTTCCTTTAGCCTTAAAGGGTTTATCTCACAAAAAATGTACTCATGTTTTGGGATTTAAGAGGCAGAGAAGTCAACAAGGACTTGTTAGATGACTGCTGGAATGCACCAGTTGAACTGGGGAGGTGACACACTGTCACTGTCAGTACATAAGGCTAAACTCCTGTGTAAACACCTTTCTTCTTTCTCTTAGGTTTTTGATGTTCAAAGGAAGATCACATATAAGAATCTGGCCAACTGGTATAAGGAGCTGAGAGAGTACAGACCTGAGATACCCTGCTGTGTGGTTGCCAACAAAATTGATGGTGAGTCTGGCTCTGACACTGCACATAACAATGATTAATTGCCCGACCAACACATATGACTCTGGACGTATAGAGGCAATCATGTTTGTTTTTCCGTATCTGCAGCTGACTTGAAGGTGACACAGAGAAGCTTTAACTTTGGGAAGAAGCAAGGACTCCCATTTTACTTTGTATCAGCAGCTGATGGGACCAATGTAGTTAAGGTTTGAACTTTTGCTTATTCGCCTGTGGTATTAAAGGGAGAGTTTTTGAAGTGGAGTTGTGTAAGGTACTTATCCATAGTCAGTTTATTACCTATAGTAGATGGCAGTCACAGTCGTGTTGTAACAGAAGCGAAGCAACATACTGCAGTGGACGGGGGCGTTAGTCACCTAAAAAATCAACATAAGTTTAAGTGTATGTTATATTTAGAACATTTTCACTGCCTTACCTTGTTGTCAGACAGCCCTTTCCAGCAGAGAACTGAAGTTGTTATATCACTCATGTTCTTGTCAAAGCCACCAAACTCAAACAGTAATCTTAGCTCGCTGAACATGTTAGCTGCTGGTTTACCGCTGTCTCTATCATTTAGTTGTTTGTGTTATTGTGTGACTTTAGTGAACCAGAACTAAACCTTTAAAACACCAAAGTCACACAAGAACACAAACTAACGGATTGAAACAGCGGCAGACCAGCAGCTCCTGTGTTCTGTGAGGTCAAATTGCAGTTTTGTTAAAGAAGTCTGGTGGCTTTGATAAGAGCATAGTTAACAGCATCCGTTTCCCGTTGGAAATGGCTGTCTGACGGCAGTGTAAAGCTGTGAAAAAATTATAAATGTAGCATACGCTTAAATTGATATTAATTTTTTTAGGTGGCTGAAATACATCTTGTTGCTGCCCCTGTCCACAGTAGTACTTTGTTTAGCTTCCGTGGCAGTACTCCTGGCTGCTTCTCCAAACTGGGACCGTGCTGACTGCCATTTGCTGTAGGGAACACACTGACTGTGAATAAGTACCTCATACAACCCCACTTCAAAAATCCAATCCTTTTAATGTCAGCGATCACTAAATTAATTCTTCATGCATTTCAAACTCATTAATACAGTTAACTGTATGTATGACATTACAACAGGTTTGACAGTGCTCCTTTTATAAACAAAATTTCAAGTTAATTCAGCCTGTATAATCTCATAAATTGTCCAGACCACTTGAGCGCCCCCTGTGTGTTGATAGTTCTGACTGACTGTCACAACAGATGTTCAGAGAGATGATCAAGAGAGCAGTGGACTACAAGCAAAACCCCAGCGACTTCATGGATGAAGTGATGCAAGAATTAGAGGTACACCTCTTTGAATACAGAAACACAGTGTGATCACTGATGTGCTTATCTTTGAAGCTGTTTAATACAACCCTAACCAAAGGCGCTCTAAGAAACTCCATAATTGGTTTATAAGCTGCCATTGTTGTTTTGTTTAAAACAAATTTGTGAGATGCCCACATTCATGAACACAATTTACTTTTTTAATGACTTCTTTGTTCAGGTGGAATATGTTTATACTAATTTACTCTCCTGTCTTTGTTGCTGAAATGAGTTTTTGGCTAAAAACATGTTTGTATTGATGTCGTTTGTTGCACTAATCTCATAGAACTTTGACCTGGAGAAGAAGGAAGATAACTCAGAAGCAGAGGAGGACGGACTGAAAGCAGAGAGTCCCGAGCTGGTCTGACAGATGTTTACACATCCTTCAAACCCTGTTCTCATCTCATGGATAAGTTATCCTCCTCTGGGGTTGCAGCTCAACAGGCACAATATTTGTCACTATGTTGGTCTGCTTTTATACCAGTGGTTTCTAACTCAGCCACGTGAGGTTGGCAGACAGTCTTGTAGTCACGTTTTAAGTCACTGCCCTCATGTGACATCTGCAGGGAAATAAACCTGGTGGAATAATTAGGAATTGTGTTAATATTGTGTCATTTAGCTGCTGTGTTAGGCTTGTCATTAATACTTTGTCTAAAAACATCTACTATAATAATAGTAGAAAATCCTACAATGAGGCTGAATGTGTTTTCATTTTGTAATAAGAATGTGAAGCATTGAAAAACGAACTCGCACAGCAAAGAGAACGTGTGACTATGAACTGTATTTGCTGCTGTTCTCGATGTTTGTGTGTAGTGTTGTGTGCAGTGCCAGCGGGGGAGCTGCTGCTGTTGGCTGCTTTTGTTGCATTTATTTTATGATGTAAAGTCTGTTTCAGCACACTTTAAATGAAAACTTAATGTACCATGTAACCAAATTATTATCATGTCTCTCTTTGCCACTTGCTGTGATTGAGCAACAGGCACAAGAGCACCCAGTACTCAACTCAGCATATTGTACAACTGCCAGTCATACATGAGTAGACATCAGCTGTATTGAACTCTTGTGAAGATCTCAGCCTTGTGAAATGTTCAGCCAGCTATGTCCCTCATGATGGATGTGAGGTGGCTGTGTGTGTGTTCATATTAGCAGGAATGGTGCCATGAAGAACATTAAATCAGTTTCCTGGCAGAAAGTGAATTTATAGGTCCAGTCTGTTTTCTTTAATTTATAATCACCTGAAAATATGTTTTTTAGGGCCAGAGCAGCACGTGATTGTCTATTGGGGAGGCTTAACATACTCAAAATCTCATGAAACTTTGCACACACACGTCACATTTGGTGAAAAATTTGTCATGTTCAGCTTCCAAAAAATGGCTCAGTAGCGCCCTCTACAATTTTTTTTTTTTTTTTACAAAGCAGCCCCCGAAGCTGGCTTGACCTACATGTACGAAACTTGGTAGGCACGTGTAACATACCAGGACGTACAAAAAAGTCTCTTGGAGCCATAACCTAAATCCAACAGGAAGTCAACCATTTTGAATTTTATGTGGAATTTTTGTGCATTTTTGGCCATTTCCAGGGGTCGTACTTTATCAAACTTCTCCTACGGATTTGATCGGATCGACTTCAAATTTGGTGTGTACCATCTGAAGACATTGGACATCAAAAGTTCAAAGCTTGAGTTTTCATTCAACTGTGTAACCGTGGCGAGGCGTCAAACTGGAAGTGGTTTGTAACTCCAGAATACATGGTCCAATCTGCCCCAAACTTCACGTTTCATAAAGCTCCAGGCCTGAAGCCACCTACATGCACATTAGGTATCATGGTGATTGCGACACCTACTGGCAACAGGAAGTACGTTTTGTCAGACACTTATCTTTTGATTTACATGATACATGATTTACAGAGTTGGGACTACGGTTGAAGAGCAGCAACATGATGTATAATTCATGTCCTCTACAGGGCGACATAGTGGAAAACAGAAGTAATACAAAATGTAAAACAGGTCATTCTAGCGCCCACACTCCATGGAAGATATACCATCTCACCCCAGCATACAGTTCCTGACTTTAACAGAAATGAACTGCCGCGTCAACCGGCATTCTGCCAGCACCCCTGAGTTGCGCAAAGGTGCGAGGGCCCGTTCATTGCTGCTTGCAGCTTTAATATTTTCTTGCTACCTTAGAATGAGACGTTTATTTCTATAGTGTATAGGGAGCGAGTCCAAATCCACCACGTTTCTGCATTAGCCCAGAACGGACAAATTAAACACCGGCTCTAGATAGGGCCATTCACATTTTTGTGTCAGCGACTGTAGTTTGCAGCCACTCAGCAATGAGCTATATCGGAAAAACACACATATTTTACGTGAAATGGCCTCATTCAGCATTTTTACCACTTTTAATCACCAGGGGTCTCATTTATGAAATAATGCGTAGGATCCAAACAAAAAATGTACGTATGAACAAAAGCCAAAAATGGCATCTGCCAAAAAATATTCTAACAATTTCTACAATCAGGCTTCCACCTCACCATCTGTGTTAGCAATTACCCATCTCCAAAATGTATGGGTTAAAGTTTCTCCCATCAAGTCTGTTTTTATACATGACAACTTTTTGTGTGAGAAGTGGCGGGCTTTCAGGCCTCATTTTGTGCGTACGCAATGTTTATAAATGACACCCCTGGCCCCTGGTTTGTTTTGCAGAGGAAAAGACCTCTGCAGATAATTTGGCTCCCAGTAAAAACCTCTTAAACAATGATCTCTAAAGGAATCTTAACCAGGAGTTCATGCTTGCCACATGGGAAAATTCTCAGCTGGTTGCAATCTGCAATCCTCACCACTAGATGCCACTAAATCCCACACACTGCTCTTTTAACATACCATTCAGTTATTTATAGCTGTTATGTTGTACACAGAAACCATGTGTATATATAATATTTATATTTGGCTGTTTTGTGTGGCATTTATTCAAAATAAATCACACTGGAATGTTACTTTAGTACCGAGAAACTGAATTAGCAGGAACAAGACTTTGATGAAGTTCATGTTTTAATTATAAATTTATTACATAATATAACAAACATATATCTCTGTGGTGGAGATATCCTGGGCAACATCTCAGATCTTGCCTCAGCTTTCACTATCACCCTTACTCTGTTTGCATGAAGAATACTAGGTAGCTTCTGGTGAACTTTTATTTCGACTAGGGCTTTCGTGTATTAAAATGTAGGGGGATTCCTAATGCTCCAAGCGTCCAGAAGTTGCCGGGATAGAAGTCGTAGATGGTTTGCCTGGTCAGCAGATGCTGAGAAGGGGAAGTTCACCTGTGAGACAAGGCTGAGGCGTTGCAGTGATACATCCACCATTCTAAACTTCACAGTGCAAACAAGGAGAAAACCAACAATGAAAGAAAAAAACCCCTTTGATGATAAGATCACTGGTTCCAGTGGGTGACCAGACCCCAGTGGGTTTTAAAAAGGTTACACTGCTCCCCCTACACTATTTAGATTGTGCTTTGTTGATTAGAAAATAAGACAAAGATAACCCTTCACTGAACTTATTTGACCTAATGATGTGTAAGTCTGTTACATGTTGCATTTTGCATCTGTATTTGTGGTAAACTTACACAACCATCTGGACCAGATATTCACTACAGCATTGTTTCTTCTAAGCAGGCCAGCCTGTGTGAGTCCAGACTGTACACGTTCACCCCTCGTGTTTGTATTTATATGGGAACAGTAAGTCAAGCTGGATAATAACCTTCATCACAGTAAAATCAAGCAATCGTGATGTGATTTGTCTCAAAATTTAAATAGAAATGTTAATGCAAAGCTCACAGGTAGATATACACAGGCTATTGTTTACATTCATAAACAATAGCCTGCTTCTTTACAAAATAATAACAGAAGGATCTAACAAATGTCTGTAGTTCTCAAGATTTCCAGGAGATGGCACCATATTATTGAGTCTAACAGCTCAAGAATGCTGTAACTAAGATAGTCCTAAAGCAAAGACAAATATACAGTTAAAAGTTAAGTTATTTTTTGGCACATTTTTCCTTTGTGTTGTTTGTTCCTCACTGGATCACCTCACATAGCATATCCAAAACTCAGAAACTGAAGGTCTGAAAAAGGAAAAAGGAGTGCTGCCAGACAGAGTGGAGGGTAAGGAGCGCAAATGCCATCTGGAAATGTGTGTACAAAACAGTGACACTGCATAAGCTGTACCTACACAGTTACAAGGTGAGTCATAGTTGTCTTGCAATATAAAATGTGACAATGGTTTCGTTCAATACCCTGTGGTGGTCTGTCTCTCCGTCTGTCTGTCTGTCTCTCCCTTTGGGCAGAGCAGTCCACTTTCTGAAGACGTCACTCGGTACAAAACAACAGTGCAGAACAATGAAGTTCAAATCTGGAATAGAAGATGAATGTGTGTGCATTTTTCTGTTTGTGTGTGTGTGTGTGTATGTATTGTGTGTGTGCGTGTTTGTGTGACACAGCCACTGCCGGGAATCTCTGATGGTAATACAGTAAGGCTATAGTGGACTAGCTCCAAAGATGTGAACCCTAACAATCAACCATACACGCGCTCTCACTGTCATCCTCGTCGTCGCTCTCACAGATACACTCAAAAAAATGGAAACAAACAAGCATTTGCACACACGCACAGTCACACACGCATGGTGAAGAGGAACGACCACACAGAGATTCGGGGAATCCAGATGCACGCATGCGCTTGGACGATGGGTGGCTTTTATGTTAGCACCTTGTCACCTTGTTTTGTGCAAATCATCCCCTAGTTCATAGTTCAGAGTTCAAAAGTTCAAGAGTTCATAGAAAGAATAAAATCTGCTCACCTTTTCCACAGGTGGTTAACTATGCATATATGCCAAACATTCATATATAGATCTATATACTTTTTGTTTTTCAAAAATTTATATGAAATCTATCATATATACATTGCTTGTGATTTAAAAAAAAGAAATTTTTTGTAGTTTGTTCATTTTTACAAGTGTAAGTACGTTGAGAATGGACAGGATATTCATTTTTTTCTGTCTTTTTTTCTGTCACTCTAAAATTCAAATGAGTGAAAGATTTAAGTATCATGTTCCACACGCTACAAAATCTACCCACAGTGTCCGAGGGTAACAAATCAAAGAGAGAAAGAAAAAACAAAAAAGTAATAGAAAAAGAACAATAAACACAAAAAGTCCAAATGAGTCTGAGGACAAACTGTAACACTGGAGTCAGAAGTAAAATAATCAGTGAGGTCACAGTGAGGCAGTGAGTGCTATTCCTACAACCCACATACGACGTTATATTTACCACCCGTTTCTTTTTTTATTTGTTTTTTTTTTATAAACTGCTAGCATAAAAGAGAGAAAAGAAAAAAAAGATGCACACAACTCCTCACCAAGTGAAACTGCCTTGGCATACTGACTGGTTGCTGCTGATGTACGGAGGTTTTTTTTAGTGGTAATAAAGATTACCTGGCCGTCTGTTCGAGAAAAGCTATGGATAAAATGCTTTTTTTGTTGCGTGAATAAAACTCACTGTTTCTCACTGCCAGCAGAAGCTACTCATGAGTACAATTGCAGATTTTGTATTGTTAAAGGAAAATTCAGTTGTTTCTTTTTTACAACCTGGGTCTTATTTTTAGAGTTCCGGCTGCCACCGTTCATGATAATACTTTACTCACTAAGTAAATCGTAGAGATAGAGGGAAGCAGCGACGTACCAAGACACTGCCAGGTTGTAAAATACTGAATTTCCTTTAAGACCTTACAGAGGCGTTCCCATCCCCACAGCCTGATAAACTACAGACACATTTTCTGCAGTGGCATTTCAGAAGGGCACATACTTTACATCTAGCTCATTTCAGCCCGTGTATGACAAGTTTCTGTTGATTACACTCCAGGTAAAAGTAGGTTTTAAGGATAACAAACATTTGCTTTGCTTCAGTTTAAGCTTAAAGGCATAGTTTGGATTTTTTGAAGTGGGGCTGTGTGAGGTACTCACCCATTGACAGTGTATTACCCACAGAAGATGGTGGTCAGTATGCTCCCAGTTTAGTGAGAAAAACGAGAGTAGCGACACAGATGGGTTAGCAGCAAAACACATTTTAACCTCTTGCACAAAGGCCTACCTAAAAAAGATCATTATCAGTTGAAGTTAACACTATATTGAGAATATTTTTACTGCTTTACCCTGCCGACAGACAGCCTTGTCTTTGGCACTACATTTTCTCAACCATAGAACTTTAGCCCTCCATAAACTTAAGTCCTCTGTGCACTGTATTACACTGCAGGTCAGCAGTTTGGGTCAGACGTTCAGTGGTTTAGGGAAGACACAACAAACACAAGAAAATAAAAGAACTGAGTGATTAGCAAAGACCAAGTGTCGTGTGGGGACAAATGGATACCTTAATAAATCAGAATATAGAGAAGAACTTTTGCAACAGACCGAAAAAGAAAGAGAGGCGAAACTTGTGTGAAAACTGGTTGCAAAGATAGAGCACAAGCCGATTGTGTAAACTGTAAACCCGTGCTCATGGACCCAGAGAGCTGCTGCTGCCTGGAACTGGTTACAACACAACCTTATGATCCTTCTAAATCGGATGCCGCCAGCGCTTCACACTTTACAGGTTGTTCGGTGAGTCGTTTTATTTATTTGTAGGTATTAATTTTACCAGGAGGTTGGGTACAGCCGTGCTCTTCAGCAAGTGTCTCTCTGGCTTCTTAAGCAGCGGTTTTTCATAATCCTCTTAAGAGAAATGTTCAGTGTAAACGTCGAGCTGTCTCAGTCTGTGTGTGTTGATGTCTATATTCAGTGTAACTGGCCACAACTATTTTCATTTATTTGTTTGAGCAGCCCCCCAAAACAAGCATGACATCTTTAGAAAAAATCTTTAGAAAAGTGATGTTTCATTTCAGGCTGACCTACAGTGTAACACAGTGCGCTGCACAGTTGTGCTTATGCGTAGGAATACATAAGTTCTACGGCTGAGAAAATGTAATGCTGAAGGAAAGGGCTGTCTGATGGCAAGACAGAGCGGTGGAAATATTCTCAGTATAGCATCCACTTAGACTAATATTGATTTTTTTATATGTAGGCTTTTTTTAGTGGCTGAAATACATTTGGCTGCTGACCCCAACCACGACAGTCCATTGCTGAGCTTCGTGGTGATACTCCCGCCTGCCTCTCCAAACAGGAAACATAGAGATCGCCATCTACTGTATGTGATACACTGACTGCAGATGAATACCTCATACAGCCTCACTTCAAAAAGTCCAAACTATCCCTTTAATTTGACCAGGCTCACACACACACACACACACTTGGTTTCCTTCTGCAGCAAAAAAGATAATTTCCTCTCTACTGGTGATGAGAAACATCCCAGTGTTTCCTTCTGTCACGACCTTGTGCAGCCTGGTCTGAGAAGCATCATCAGTGGTTGCAGGGATGGAAATTTTACTAGCCGACTAACGTTTGTTTTTGTTTTTTGTTTTTTTTTACAGACTGTGGTGGTGTTAAATTGTCCTCACAGGTAAGAATTGAAATGAATAGTGATAAAACAACAGCCAACAACATCTCCATGCTAGTGCCCCAAACTTCCATCCCTGAGTGATAAACAGGCAAAAGATGAAGAGCCCCTTTTACCAATTAGCTGTCTCATTAGGTGGTCCTTACTGTACGCTGTTGTGGATAAAGTAGGGCCAGAGAACCACGTCAGTGAGAGCTGTAGCTGAAGCGGTAGGGATGGGTGTCAACTGGGGTCTCAGCCTCACATTACGGGATGCCCTTTAGTATGAAGGAAGACCGTAAGAAAATAAAAACAAACATCAAACTCTCTGTCCAAGACATGATGCAACTCGTCATGCTACGGTTCAAGAAAGGGTGACCATAAGGAAAGTTGTATACCTATGACAAAAATTTCATTTCCATATCTATATACTTTTTTTAAATTTCAAATATATATTTATATATTTATATATATATATATGTATATAATTGGTAGAAATGAGTAAACTATTGGTGGAATAAATTTAAAGATTTCTCTCTGCCTTCTATACTAAAAACCAAAAACAGGCTAAGATTAATTTATTACATTTCCTCTTTGCAACATTGTCTTTTCTTCTGAAAGCTATATTTAGATACATATATATCATATTATATAATACCTATATATAATATTCCCTTTGGAAAACCAAAAAATTGATTATGAAAAAAGCCACGAGTGTTGATTAAACATTCTCCAAATATAATAGATAGCACAGTCTGGGTACCAAGGCGGAGGGGTTTTCTCCCGTGGTTTACTTGGTGGAGCTCCACCTCTGGGCTCGAAAGTCTTCGGTTTAAAAACTACAGCAGGTATAGAGAAGACACACCTTTTCAGAGCTGTGTCTGCAGTATGTCCGTAGTCCTGTGTTCATCATTGTTGATCTCTGTATAAATATTTTGAAAGGCAACTGAGCTTTCTGTTTGGAACAAAAATTCTTCCTCCTCCTCCTTTACTCAAACTGCAAAAGGCTTTCAGAGGCCTAATAGATGGAGGGATAGAGGTAGAGAGGAGAGGAGGGAATAGTGAGAGAGAAAGTGTGGGTGTTACTAAGGGAACAACTGAAGCTTTCACAAATCAAATGTTTTAATTGGAGCTCATGCGATTCTCCTCGGCAAAGAAAGACCAGAGCCTGTTTTGAGGTCTGATCTAATTGGCTGCAGGCAAGGAGGTGGGCAGACACTAAGGGCCGAGTAGAGGGGAACGAATGTATTGACTCCTCCTCTTCAGTGCAGTGCCAAGTGCAGGGTATTTATGCAGAAAGGGAACATAAAGTGTCGCTAAGGTACACAGGTAAACATTTGTGATGCAGAACATAAAAGCAGCCAGAGTAAAAGAGGAGCGGCCCCTATCCTTTCTCTTTCATCAACACTGTTATCTTGCCCATTCTATCTTCGTCTTTCTCCCCATCTGTTGCTGTGTCTCAGGGCAGGGGTCAGCTCTCTAGCAGCAGTTTTAGTGCTCGTTCAATGTTCATGCGGTGTCCGACTCGCGTCACTCCCAGCTCTGCAAAGTCATCCTTAGTTAGAGCTGGGAGGTGAGAGCCTTCGATCTCGTGTTCCTGAAATCCTGCTCTGTGCTCCCCCAGATTGATGCTCTCCAGCCAGTCGCCGACGTCGTACTTATTCCAGAGGTGGAGGGGTTTCTGGTGGAAGGGCCGGAGGGCTAAAAGTGGTGACCCCAGCCCGGGGGAATGAGAAGGTGATGGGGATGGGGAACGAGAGCGGGAACGGGCGCTGGAGCTCCTCATTACAAAGCGGACCTCTTTCGGCTCCTGGGGTAGGCTGAGGCTAGAGGATTTGAGGATGGTTTGTGGCGGTGTTGTCGGTGAGGTCGGTAGGCCGAAGCTTGAGAATCGTCCAAGAGGGTCGCCCCGATCAGGTGAGCCTGAACCTGGGCTTGGGGTGCGTCGGGTGACAGGGTATCGGCTTCCAGGGCGGATGGTGTATGTGGTGCCATAACTTCTCTGAGAAATGGTGTGGAGCTCGCCTAGGCTGCTGAAAAGTCTGTGGGAGACAGAGAGAGACAGAGACAGTTTCAGGAATGTTAACAGATGAGACGAAAGTGAACAGATGAAGAAGAAAAGGAGACCAAGCTTTGGGTTATATGTATTAACCACTTTAAGTTCTTAAGTTTAAGTTAGTGTAGGTGTGACGTTAATAACTGACTGAATAACAGACCCAGCTAGTCTCACATCACAGCGACATCAAAGCAGCAAGCTGCGCTCATTGGTCACGACATCATTTACAGCTTTACTACTCAATCGTGAATATATCACATTGGACTTGCATCACTATTTCAAGTAATACATCAACTATACAAGGGAATATATGGCAGCATTTGAGAATAAGGCAATATTTTCACTGACATCTACACTCAGTCCATCTGAACATTACTGAAAGTGTTTTTCCTCTAATGAATTAAACCAAAAGCTACTTCCTGTTAAGGCATATGTGATCCACAAACAGCAAAGGCTCAGAATAAAAGTACAGTAACAACCAGATTTAGTGTTTTACATTGAAACGAGGACTAACGTGAAAGCACTGACAGTACAAACATGTGCACGCATATATTTACTATGTCAACACACAGTAGGCAGTTGCACATTACTGACAGTGAAATAGCTTTTTTGACAAAGAATTACAGTTGAACGTATACTTATTTACTCTGAGGTGCAGCTATTCAATGCGCCAAGTCAACAATTCGGGAATCTCAGTGATTAATCAAACCAATCTTACCATCTGCAGCATGAAGAGGAAGAATTGTACTAACACAATCTGGCAACAATTCTCAAGAATCTGATACTAACAACAGTTTCTCCAGCATCTTCCAAAAGAACAATAAATGCCGTATAACCCACATTTTTATGCCTGACCCTGTTTTGAAAAATAATAGCATCAACTTGTTAAACAGTCTGAAAGTGGCTGATTAGTATACTACTGATCTAATGGAGGAAAAGATGGCCAGAAGGGAGGAGGATGGATTAGAGATTAAGTCTAACATGAAAGTTTAGCTTGGTGTAAGCAAGGAGAAGCAAAAAGGAGGAGGCCTAGATGTGGTAAGAGTCGGTGCAATGGTGTCTGCTTTGTTCATGCATGTTAGTGAGTGTGTTATGTACACGTGTGGCACATGTCTTCCCTCTACTGCATGTGTCTGGAAACTTTGATGTGGACTAGAGAGTGTGATGGAACAGAGGTAGCTAAGGCAGCGCACAGGCTGGAAGAATGAGCAGACTACAGGGAGCCGACGGATATGAGATGAGCTCCATGCGCACTTACACAGTCGTCCTGCCCTCCTGGGCGCACAGTCAGTTCTAGACCAATCAGATCAGAGCAGCAGGGCGGAGCATGCAAGGTGAGCAGAGAGAGAGCAATGGGAGAGAATGTTAGCATCACTCCATGAGACGCAGCCTGCCAACCAGACTCTGCTTCAGCCAACTCTGCTGTCTTTGACGTGCTTCGTGTGTGTACAATTCTGTGTGTGACTGTGTGAGTGTTGCTGTGAGTGCATGTATGCGCCCAGGTATTTATGCGTGTGTGCATGTGATGGTGTTTTTGATGTATAAGCACGACAAAGGCAGCAGAGCAGGCTTTGGCACTGGAAGGTCTGACCAGTGGGCTACATGAGAGAGAAATGAGCACACTATTCACATATCAAACACTGCACAAACAAAAGAAAAACAAACAAACAAAGAAACAAACAAATAAAAGGCGGGCACATGTCCCTTGACTTTTGTGGTTGCTTTTGTACTTATTCTGAAATTATGTGGACTAAATGAACCATTATTCTTGATAGCAAGCAATTATTTATATGTGTTGTGCAAGTAGTTGTGATTAATTAACATCTGTATCTGCTACACTGTTTATAAGGGTGTGTGTGTGTGTGTTTTCAGGAAATATAAACTGCTGTTTTAGTGTCATTTAAGAGACCTACAGTGTCCAATAAGCAAGACAGTCAGGGACCATGGCCATCCTCAACACAATCACTGAAAAACAAAACAAAGTTATGCAAATTACATAAACAGAGAAGAACAGAAAACCAAAGGGCACAAATGAAAAAAAACACAAAACAAAAAAAAAAACGAGAACCACAGGTTTCTAAACCACCCAAAGCTGATACATGATACACAGCATGTGAACGAGGTGGACACAAGAGAGACAAAGTACAGCAGCATGTGTGGTTTCTGAAGGGTTTAAATGGGGCACACAGTGGATGGGGTAAGTGAGTAACATTACAGTTAAGGGTGCTGGGATGCCTACGCTACATGTGAAATGCTCTAGTAGGTGAGGAGGAGAAACAAATGCAGAGGCAGAGAGAGAGAGAGAGAGAGAGAGAGGGAGGAAGAGAGAAAGAGAGAAATAATGGTGTGCATGGTCATCTTTGTCAGCCTAGGGCAATCAGCTGTTGGGATGGATGTGGTGAGGATGAATTTGATTGCATTACCTCCGAAAAAGGATGAGCCCAATCATGAGTGAGTGTTACATGATATGTTGTATTTGATATCATGGTCACCTGTTCCTTCCAGGGATCATGATGTTGTTGAGGTACACACCGATGATTGATGGCTAAATTTGGCTCAATGTCACATGGTGACTTCATGTTTCATTTGCGGTCGCCCAGGCATCGCAAGTCTTAAGCGATAGGGATGAATGAGCTTTTCAACCCAAACTATCTTGGTAATAGACTACTGTTACTAATAAAAGAACAAAAAGGGGATCAGACTGCAAAACATGCTTATAAGACTTTAAAATACAGAATAGTTTATGCTTACGCAATTATCTTCATTAAAAAAAAAACCAAAAAAACAAAATCTGATAATCTGAATACATGACTTTGTGATATTTATGGAGGTGCTGGAGGTAAATTCTGCATCAAGGATTTCCAGAGGCAACAGCAAGAAGTAGCAGCAGACTTTTGTTGATGCCAAACTATACTGTAGCTCTCAAATAACAAATTCTGCCAAGCGCCAACATTAGTCAGTATCAAAGGCCAAAAACTAACAGCCCTATACTGATCAATTCTCAAGAGTCTTTCCATTCTTTGATGGGTGTAGATTGCTAAAAATCTAAAGCATTTTGGTTTCACTTGTGCGGAGTTGGTCAGCTCCTCCTCATGAGATTAATACGATAAGCGGACTGCGAAAAGGTCTATTCTAACATCTTCTTAAACTTAGATTCTCTCCTCAGGTCTTTTAGCTCCTCTTAATCAGCAGTGAAGTATAGTGAACATGAAAGCAAAATTGTCCACCCTCCTTATTCATTCGAACAGAAATTAGGACAAGAGAAGAAGAAAGGAGAGGAGCGAGACTAAAAAATCAACTGCATCTAAAACTTCGGAGCTCTTTGAAACCTCCATTCAGAGATCTTCACTGATAAATTACTGTAAATGAAGGATTCTCCTGAACAGCACGTTAAAATTAACACTGATTAGTCTCAATTTCATGGCAGAGCAAAACTACAGTGGACAACCAATGAATGAAAGCATTTGTTCTTCCAACTTGCCAAACCATAAAATCACAACCGGGCCAAATCCTGAGTAGATCAGAAGAGAAGACATTTATTTGACATTTACCCTTTCTTGGCACCTCAGAACTTTTGACAAGGTCAGGTAGTCTTGTCATTAACATGGCAGTTAATGCTGAGATCATGAGGGGATGGTTTTAACATGACACACCATTATAGTTCAGTCATGTTCAAATATTTCTGAGAATACATCCTTAAATCTTTGAAGTTATCACTGATGATACTGTAGGATGGGGCACGATGATAAGAAGGAAACTGCAGTTTCTGGTCTTATCAAGTTTATATCAGTGATGGCTGCAAAGAGGTGCAGATATAAGAATGCATTATGTATTATTTGAACAAGGACTCTGGGAAAAGCTCAAGGAAAAGCTGGAAGGGTAGCTACTGGCAGGGTCAAAGGTTAGAACCCAACAGAGTGTGTGTGAGATGAGGAAAGGCTTTCGGGGAGAGCATGCCTCCAAGCCCTGTTACCTTGTTTGCATCAACAGATAATCTACTACTACTACTACTACTACTACTACTACACACACACACACACACACACACCCACACACACAACAAACAGCGTAACCTTATCATTATTGCCTACTTCTGCTTGATGTATATACTTTACAACCCCGATCATTTAACAGGAGGCCAAGGAGTTCAGCTGCAACTATGGAAACAAGGAACAATCGAGACCCAAGACCAGAGCCATCAATTGTAGTACTACTGTATATCTCTAACACCAACAATTTGTCATGGTAACACAGTCCTACAACCAAATATTTTATATTCTTTTTTAAGTAACTTTTACTCTGAAATAGTCTGTAAGTGAAGCAATCAGGTGATGCAAACAAGGTAACATCATAGATAAAAGAAAATACATGAAACAAAATGTGTAAAGGGTTATTTTCCAATGGGATTAGTTGATAGGCTTGTTAGGAAAAGTATATATTTAAAAAAGCTTAAGTTTACCCTAGGGGCTATAACCTTAAGGTTTACTCTCTTCGGTGTCCTCACATCTGCAGAAATATAAAGGACTTCATTGTACCTTCAGGTATGGTGTGAAAACAAGAAACCCACAGATAATAGACAAAACAGCACTGTGCTTCAGATGCTCTAGTTGACCCCAGTGTCGCTGTGAGAAGCAAGCTTGCCTTTGCCTCTTCTCTATGCTTCATATTTGCTTTTTACTCACTGACGCTGCAACATGCTTTGTGACCCATAGAAAGTTAAAGCAAAGATTAACAATGCTGTAACACTAACACTGTAAGGGTAGCTAATGCTAGCAATGCTGGTGGCTTCTGATCTCATTAGCGCTTACCATCACAATGGACTGGCTTAAATGTGGATTCATTTGCATATTTTAAGATGTGAATAAAACCAAATCATGCACAGAAATAAAACTTAAAGCCACCCTCTTTGACTCAGCCTCTAGGTATCTCTATTTCCAGATAAGTGTTATTAGATTTAAGACCAAAATAGACTCGAAATTGTTGTCTACAAAATATGTTTGCTTTTAAATAATAAATCAAAGCCTCTATGTTTGCAATCTCTCTTCCAGTGGGCTTGTTATTGCAAAAAACAAGAAGGGATATCGACTGCCGACATAATAATGGATCTAAATAAAGAGTAATATAAAATGTCGGTAGACAAGAGACAAGAATTAAACTCAGTGTCTGACAAGTATGTAATTTAAGATGATTTCAGACCCTTCTTTCTGATGTTAAACCCTGGAGTTGCTTTAGATTGTTAACTCTCACTGTCTCTGCCACTGTCTGAGTAAAATATATCATGACTTTTAATGTAACCATCTGTTCTGTCACGCAGTGTCGAATACAGTTTTCTTACCTGGCACCTGCCACGGGTGACTTCCTCCCCGGATCAAGTGATGCTCCCAGTGGTTCCTCTCCCAGTGACCTAGTGTCTTTATTTAGCTGCTGTAGTCGTGAACTGAGCTCCCCCATAACAGATGGTTTTGCTCCCTCATCTACACCCAGTCCCAGTCCCAGCCCACCAAGATTGCCCAAACTCCCAATACCTAGCCCCACCCCTGGCCCGCGAGGTTCCACTGGGTCCCCCCACAGCTTGGACCTCCGCTGGAAGAGGTAGCGTGGCTTGGTGGGGGCTAGTCCAGTCACTGAGGCTGAACCACCTGAGGGCAGCCCAGCTCCTCCAGCTGCAGCAACAGCCAGGGCGGCAGCCTGTTGTTGTGATAGCAGCTCGCTGTCAGAGCTCTGCTTTAGCAGAGGGTCCCTGAAGGTGACGGGGCCTTTACTGCCTCCTATCTGGGACTTGAGTCGGGGCTTAGGAGGCACTGGCGGCTTGTCGAGCACAAAAGTCTGCCCGTCAGCATAGGAGGTGTGCGTGGTATGTGTGTCGGCAGGCTCGCCGCTTTCTGAGGACAATGTGGACATGCTGGAAACCGTGGAGACGGTGCTGGTGGTCTCAAGATGGTGGTCTCGCTCTCTGTCGCTGGAGCTGCGCGTGTCAGCCTCCTCCACGCCTGAGTCAGCCGCAGAGCCAGACTCGCCCACCGGTGGGGGCTCCAGAGGGTCAGATGGCTTCCCTGAGACAGCTGCTGCACTGGGTGGAGGTGCCGGCTGGGGAGGCTGAGGCTGGGTGGGGGTCACAGTTGGGGTTGTTGGGGTTGAGGGAGTCTGGGGTGTGGGTGTTGGAGGGGTAGTGGGAACGGAGGCAGGTTTAGTTGGAGACACAGGTGTCCCCTGTGCCTGTGCCAGCAGCCCATTAGCAAACTCATCCGGTGGTGGAACAACTCCAATCTTACGTAGCTCCTCTCTAGTTTCCTCATCACTGGAGGACAACATTGCTGGGGGCAGGGTCACTGTGTATGGATCCACATCCTCCTCGGAGCTTCCCTGAGCCAGACTCTTCTCTTGGGCTGGACTGGCAGGACGCTGAGTTTGAGGCTGGGCCTGGAGCTGGGCTTGGGGCTGGGAGACCGTGGGACTGGGGGATTTAGCTCGTGGAGTTGGAGATTTGCTGGGCTCTGTGGATGTTGGGGCAGGTGTCTGTTCTAGTTCTGGACCCACCCCGACAGCCTGGCCATTACTAGTAGCATGGACCATGATAAGCCCTGCCGTTTTCTGTTGCGACGTATCCATAATACTGATCAACATACTTTTTTTATCCTCTAGTCTCTTCTCCTCCTTCCGCTCCTCTACTCTGGCCTCCATCTCCTGCCGGAATGATACAGGTGATGGTGATGTGGCCCACTGTGGTTTGGTGGGCTGGGGAACTAAAATAGATGTTGGGGAGGATCCAACTCCATACCCCACTGCCTTGGCGCTTTTAGGCGAAAAAGGGGGAGTTGAGGGAGCCCCTTCCCCATGTGGAGACTCTTTGGTCTGAGGGTCAATGAACATAACGCTCTGGCCTGCCCGCTCCTGTTTAGTCCTAGGCTCTGGGCTGCCAGTTGGGGACTGGCTCTGGGAGGTCAGTGCTCTCTCCCTTGCGGCCAGCGCAAGAGCCAGTGGAGAGTTGGGGTCCAGGGGCTTTCCTGTGAGCGGATGAATAAAGGTGGTCCCACTAGGTGAGGGGCTCAGGGCCAAGGCAGGGGGTGGCAGCTGTCCCAGCTCTCGGGTGAGCATCCGTTCATCGATGGAGTGAGACTGAGTCAGAGAGGGGGAGTCGGAGCTGGTTGCAGACGCCCCCTCCATGGTCCCAACAGAAAGGAAGACAGTGGATTTCCTCCGTTCTTCAAGGCGACGCTCACGATCTTTCACTGCTCCAGCTATTGCAGCGGCGAAGGGGCCCTTACCCTGAAACATCATCTCCCCCTGGGCACGCATACGCTCTCGCTCAGCCATCAGCTGCTGCTGGTAGTAGTCTGCACGGCTGGTATGTGTGTGTCCATGGGTATGTGGGTGTCGTCCTGAGGGTGAGCTCTCTCGGGAGTGGGCAGCAGCTAAGGCTATACTAGCTTTTTCTTGTGCATCTTCCACCTGCAGTAAGACACAAATAAATCAGCCAAACATGTCAAAGTTAGAGAGTCTCTGACACATTAGTAAAAAAATAACAAAACAGAAGACCATGCCCAACATGTAACCTACCTGTAGTTGTTTCACCAAGGGACTTTTCTTCCTCTGGGGTTTGGTGGGTGTGTACAGTCCAATGCTAAATTGACCCACATTAGCATAGGGGTTGTCAATAACCCGACCCTTCCTTTTGATTCGCTCAGGTGGAGTAGCAGCAGAAGGACGGGGAATTTCTGTAGGTTCTACAGGTAGATGGGAAGAGTCCTGGAGGATGATCATGGAGCGGGCTTTCTTCTGTCTCTCTATGTGTGTGGCCTGCCGCTGTGCGGCCTCGTAAGGCAGGTCCAAGGAGGAGGGCTTGAAGCTGGAGCGTCCTCCAGGCTCGTGGCCCTGACTCTGGGTCCTAGATGGGGGAGGAGGGGGACAGAACGCTGGGGGAGGACCAGTGTCTAGGTAGTAGGGAGGAGGTGGAGGTGCCGTTTGTGGAGGTGGAGGGATGGGATGGGGCTGTGAGTGGTCTCGGAGGGTGTCTGTCATTGAGGAACTGCGTGGAAATCTGTTCTCGCCTGCAAGGGCAGACAGCCGATCCTCCTCAGTGGCACCTGATGAGGGAGGGAAGAGCACAGACCCTCTGGTGACCAGGAGTAAGCTCATGAGATAAGACCATTTCATACCAGCCTAGCAGGTCCACAGCTGCTTCCTGAAAAATACACTGCAATGCATCCATCTGTAAATCTGTTAAGTCACACATTTAATAATGTTTAAGGTGTCTTAAATCCAGCTATACAATATTTCAATAAAACTTGTAATACTGGTAACTGTTTTTGACTTATTTAACAATTAATTCAACATTCATTTAATGAGTGTACTTGAGAACAGGAAAAATGTTTAATAATACAGATGGTATTAATAATGTATGTGTATATCTACTTTTGAAATAGGCTCTGTACTTGAACATCTGCTCTGCAAATCTGTTTCCGTGAATATCCAGTAAGCACATTTGCACATTCGGAACATGTAATGCAATGTAAGTATATACTTGTAACCATGTCATCATTTGTTAATATGTATTTCTTGTCAATAGGAACTCAAAAATAGGGCTTCGATGAGGATGCAGCTTCATCTTCAGTATTTTCTATTTGCTGTACAGCTGTCTATGTGCTATTCTTTGTGGGTGTGGTGATGCAATTTTACAAAGAGAATGAAGCTTCCTTGTCTTATATTCCCTACATGTCAATATATTACCTACAAGCATACTGTACATAAGATACACTATCATTCACCTTATTTGAATATGTACAGGATGGGTGATTGTTTTACCAAAAGACTTGGTCCTGGACATCCCCTTTGGTAGCGGTATGTGACCTCTCTCAACGCCTGGATGAAGACCGCCATGTAGAGTCATTCCTTGTCTCTCAAACAGTGACTGCAGCACAACAAAACAAAGATATATGAAACACAGTTTTAATGCCTTTAATGCGTCTGAAAACTGTATACAGAATACCAGCAACAAAGCAGGACAAAGAAGTGTACATGTGTGCAGTGTTGCATAGTGCTGTGAAGCCCAGGTGTTTTTGAGTTATGTTATGCGTCAGATTGAGTTTGCATGTAAGCCAGCACAGTGGCATATGCTGTCTGCCAGTGTGCTGTGTGTAGGTGCACTCACACTGATCTCTGCTGGTGTTATTCTCCTGCTGGTAGGCCTTTGTTTGACAGTAGCTGCTCTGTAATCTGCCTCCGAGGGCTGAGAACGCAACATAGACTCCTGGGACGCCAACATTTCATCTAGTCTCTCTGTTGAGAAGGAAATGAGCCACAGCTAAATACTGAGACACAAGACCAGAGAAATGTTGTGCCACATTGTGATTAAAAAAGCATCTCCAAAATGTAGCTATACACTGCAATGTGAGGTCATGCGCTATGGGACTGTATAAAATTGCTGCACTATCTCAAAACAAGTTCATTGTTTCCTCGATGACCACTAGGGAGTGAGCACTCAGAATTAAAAGAGACAGAAAGAGAGGAAAAAAGACAAAAGGCAGAGAAAGAGAGAATCCACATATTTCAAGTGTTCTGCTCTTCACCTCTAAATCAACACTGCTTAACTTGAGACAGCAGTGATAAATCATCTTTATGACGTTCAGAGAGGTGTCAGTTTCTTGCCTCAGACTCACCTCCTCTTCTCCTCCGAGCAGAAGCTTGGTGGGAAAAAGATAGCGTCAGCAGAGGAGGGGAAATGACAAGAACAAGCCAACAGAAGTGACTATTCTAAAAGTTAGGAGACACACCAAGTTTTAATGACAAAGGGAAAGCAGAAATGTGACAGAAAAGGAGGACGAGAGTGTGGAGTTTGCATGCCAGCTATCTGGCACTCACCCAGTTCTTCCAGCTCAGCGGTCATGGACTTAGAGCGTAGTGTCAGGGTGGTACTGGGAGCTCTCTTGGGTGGCGGGGGAGCTGTGGAGAAAAGGCATGGTGTTGAGGATGAGGTTGAGGGGGATGAAGATCCTTTTGGTTTGCGGCTCAGTGCCCTCCTTGCATCCCCCAGACGGCCAGCCCATCCCGTCCTTCCTGCTTTGATCTGGTCAAAATCAGATGAACTGGACGGCTCACACTTAGCCAGGACCTTGTTCAGGCTACGGTTGGAGCCCAGCTTCTTCATGTTTGGCTCTCTGTTGGTCCGATGGCTTGTTAATTTGTCAGATTGTCTCCAAGACTTTCAGTTTTCTAGTCTTTGTGGTGCAAGAATTCCTCTCCACTGAGGAGCCCAGAGGCAGTAAATGTACAGCTCAGTCCACTCTGTAACATCCCCGGCTTTCTGAATCCTCCCATTACACACAGAACAATAGATTTTGTCTGCCACAATAGGCAGAATAAGTAAAATGAGTGTGGCAAGGAGAGGGATAAAGTCCTCCATCTTACTTTTAATATGCTGCCTGTCTGGTATTTAGCAGGTGTGTATCAGACAGAGACGCGCTGACACACCGGCTTACACACACATGCATATCCTCCCACATGCGGGACCACATGCAGATACACAGAGAAAACTCCCTGAGGGAGGACATAATGACGTGTGGGCTGACAGACGAAGAGATGACAGTAAATTCAACAGCTAAGGAAAATGATGCGCTGCAGACTTTATACCCAAAAGCCCATGGGAGCCTCCCAATCCTACTACACACACACAAGGCAACTGGGCTGTTATCGTCCCACTCAAAGCGGTAAAACACATCTAACAAATACAAGCTCCAAATGCAAACGACAGACTTGCAGTTTTCCAAAAAAAGCTTTAAATCAGGTTACAATAAACACTGTAATTAACCAAATTAAAAATAATTTGATCATGTATTTAAGCATGCTAAGTCTGCATAAACGGTGAAATGCCATGCAGCTGTAAAGAGATCCCCAAGCCACATACAGCAGCAGTCTCTACATGCTGCAACAAACCCAAGTTTCCTATCAATACCACACAATACAACTAGATCAGCTCACTGTCTCCGAGATCGACAAGCTAGCTCTTAATGCACCACTGTAGAGCGATAGATCTCCAAATCCCACAGATGCCCTAGTGCCTTACTAGAGCCTAACTGTCCTGCTGCCGTCAGCAGCTGCAGATCTGGTGTACATACGCCATCCTGGGTACAGTCCATATCAAACATCTTCATTTCCTCACCAGCCTGCACATTCTGGTACAGTGGCAGGGAGCAGAGGAGACAGAGGAGGACGGAGCAAGTGAGAGGAACAGAGACAGAGTCAGAGGGAGAGAGAGATGCTTTTGCTGTAATGTAATGCTTAATTCAAACATGCAGTGTAGTCACCATGGCAACAGTGGCAGTAGTGAGGCCTCGCATGGTGCAGAGAATGTGTGTTTTGTATGTGTGTTTGCCTGCAAGTCTCTGGGTATGAGTGCGTGTGAGAGTGTGAGAGCATGCGCCTGTGCATTTGTGCAAAGGTGCGGCACAATATGCAGAGTCCCACCAAGTCCCACCGGAGGAGCGGTGCAGTGGGAGAGAGGGTGTTCGACACAGCTTAGGATGTAACAAAAGAAGACATTTTGGAGAAGTTTGAAAGAGGAATGAAGAATCCTGTTCTGAGGTCTGAAACACTAAACACGCTCCATCTTGTCTGCAGCTGTTTGCACTGTTGTCAGCACTTGAATCGATCTGTCCATCTTTTCTTCAATTTACAATAAAGGAATTGCACCAGCTATTGTCTTTACAGTTACCTCGCTCCTTCTATCACCTACTGAATATCTGTGGTCTCAGCAGAGATAAGCAAGCTTTAATGGAGGCAACAGACAATGACTTGAGAACACAAAAAGACAAAAAGGCACTGAGGTAAAGACACACTAAATAAATGCAGTTATGCCTACATGTTTTCATGTAGTTCCAATACATCTACCATAATGGTGCTGTATTGCACCAATGACTTAAAATACTGGGAGTAAGCAAACAAAAATGTTAAAAGAATTAGACAGACATTTTGGGAAATACACTTACTTGCTTTCTTGGTGATGGTTTGATGACAAGATGGATACTTCTCTTATTTTCTCTCGCATAAAGCCTGGAAACAACAGCTAGCCTGTCTGTGTCCAAAGGTAACAAGATCTGCCTACCAGCACTTCTAACGCTCATTAATTAACACTTTCCTCTTTGTTTAATCCGCACAAAAACCAAAGTGTGAAAATGACAATTCGCCCTTTTATGTGGCGGACTATTTCTTGGTCACAACATGTAACTGAGAGTGGAGACCCAGAGTCTCCGCTGGTTGGCTGACAACTTCACAGAGCCAAGAAACAGTCTGGCACATAATCCCCCGTAAAATGGCAAATTGTCATTTTAACACTTCAAATTTTGTATGGATTAAACAAACGAGATATAACGTGTTAATTAGTGAGCTTTAGCCATGCTGGTAGGAGGACACAGCCATACTAACTGTTCCCTTTTGTTTTCAGTCTTTGTGCTAAACTAAGCTAACCAGCCGCCGGCCGTAGCTTTATATTTAACGGATAGAAATGAAAGCAGTATTGATCATCTCATCTAAGCATATTTTCCAAAATGTCAAATTTTTGCTTAAATAAATCATGACAACTGAGTGAACTTAATCCACTGAGAGAGATGGGACATGCGGATCAAAGCTCCAAAAAAAAAAAGGCAGTTAGTGGACCTTGAGTGCAGTTTTTTTTCTTGTCAAAATATGTTAAACTGTATAAACTATCATCAGCCATATCTAGTAAAGATAAAAGCTAGAAGAATGATGGCCAATGTCTAGAGATGAGTTTATTGAAAAGAGACAAGCATAAGGAAAGATACAAAGGGGTGACAGAGAGACAGTGAGACAGATTAAGAGACAGCATAAGGCCCTGAGTAGCAGGATTTAGTTGATATAGTACTGTCCCAATGAAACTAGGTCAAACCCATTTATCACTGTCTCTGTATCTCAATAATTGCAAAGGAGGTGCGCACAATACTCTTCCACACACACACACACACACACACACACACACACACACCATTGCAGTGTACACAGTCCTGAGGTCATAGTGCCAGGACTGTGTGGGAGCTGAGTAATGGCGAGCTGTGGTTGACATGGAAACCACATGAATTTACAGCAGGCGAACGTAGTAGAAATCACCTTGACAACGGAAACACACATATCTTTTTAAGTCCTCTGTAATATGAAACCAACTTAAACGTTTCCATTACATTACAGCTATAAAATTTATTAGCAAACAACTGAGACATCCTATAGCAAACTATGTGTCATGCTAAAATCCCTAAAGCACACACTATATTTCAATTAAGCCATTACTACATAATTAGGGGAATAAGTTATATTTAAATTACTGTTCATACTAATTTTTATGTTTAATAATAGTTACAAAAAGCACATATATAAAGTGGAATTTTGTGACATTTAACATGAAGAAAATAACATTTTAGAAATGTTATTTATTACATATGAAATGTAATATTTCACATGTGGAAATACGAGTTTAATGTAGAGGAGCTTTTCCTCTGGTCTTTACCTTTCTTGCGAACGACCTCCTCAGACTCCGGTTTGCGCGTGACAGACACCACCTTCATCAGCAGCCTGTTGCCCCCTTGCCGGATCAAGGACACCACCTGTTTATGGCCCACCTTCACTACATTCACCCCGTTTACCTGAGACAAAACAAACACAAAGACAGAGTGAGCCACGTCAACACAAGTGCGACCATTTCCAACAATTCTGCTGACACCAAAGCACCATAGTTACCAAATTCTGGTTAATTAGTTTACACAAAAAGTAAACCCACTCAGAGGAGTTAAAGGGATAGCTTGGATCAATGAATGCTTTGTATAGCTTCATATGTTTGCTGCAAATATTCACAAATATCTACAAACCCATTTTGCTGGCACAGGAGGAAATATGCGTCAGATCCATGAGTGTACCATGTGACTGTGCAGACTGCAGTTATTAGTTTTTTTCTCTGTTCAGGGACATCACCGGTGTGTTCAGTAATGAGACAGATACAGACGGAGAGGAAGCAAGTGAAGAGCTGTCCTTAATTACCTCAATGAGAAAGTCTCCTGTCCTCAGACCGGCCCTCCAGGCCACTCCCTCCACGTCCACAGACTCCAGGTACTGCAGGGCAGGGAATGCTGGGGTGGGGGTGAACTCTTCAATGGGCGTCTCAGCTGAGAAGAAACACAAAAAGTAAACCCACTCAGAGGAGTTAAAGGGATAGCTTGGATCTTTTGAAGTGGGGTTGTATGAGGTACTTATCCATAGTCAGTGTATTACCTACAGCAGATGTTAGTTGGCACACCCCCAGTTTGAAGTCCAACAACAGAGCTAAGCAACACGGCAGCAACAACATGTATTTTAGCCACCTAAAAACATCAATATCAGTTTAAGTGAATGCTATATTTAGATTATTTTCCTTGCTTTACCCTACCATCGGACAGCTATTTCTGATGAGGATGTAAGCAGTTATATTGCTTTCCTCTAAGCCAGACTCCATTGAGGAAAACAACGATTTAACATCACTGAACACAGGAGCTCCTGGTCTACCAAGGCCTCCATCAGTTGGTTTGTTTGACTTATTGTGTGACTTTGGCATTTAAAAGGCTTAGTTTGGATTCACCAAAGTCACACAGTTACACAAACTAACTAACTGAGCGAGGCCGCAGTAGACCAGCAGCTCTAATGTCCAGCAAGCCAAAATCATTGTTTTTGTCAATGAAGTCTGGTGGCTTTGAGGAGAGCATAGATCTGGAACTGGAGATGTTCACGGCTTCCCTATTGAAATGGGCTGTCTGACGGCAATGTAAAGTGATTAAATTATTCTCAATATAGCGCACACTTGAACTAATATTGATGTTTTTAGGTGGCTAAAATATGTTTTGCAGCTGCCCCCGTCCACAGCAGCACATTTCATGTCTGTCGAATCTCCAAGCTGGCAGACATCTACTGTATGTAATACACTATCTATGTATAAGTACCCCATATGACCCCACTTCAAAGAATCAGGACTGTCCCTTTAAGCAAAATCTACGACTTCCTTTGATTCATTTATGCTTTTCTAGCAAATTAGATTGCCAATGATCACAACAAGATCACAAACAGAACATTTATTACATGCTGCAAATAATATTTGGAAAATGTTGGCTGCTGGTTTAAATCTGCTCTATTTTAATTTCCTTGGAGGCTGTGCTACATTTTTAAAAACTTCTCTTATTGCTTTACTATAGTGATTTAATTAATAAATTTGTACTGTTTAGTTTTATTCCTTGATTAAAGGTCTCTATATTAGTCAGTGATACTAGTAGCCCTGGGTGAATGTGCTACTGTTACCTGCATTATTTTTTGTAGTGGCATACAATCACATGCTTACACGCTTGCACAACAGCATGTATGTCTCAACAAAAAAGACACACACACACACACACACACACACACACACACATACAGTACACAAACCCACTTTGTTAAGTGAGTGCGCCACCACAAACTCCATTTAATCTTGGAACGAATCCAACTAAATCACTGACACATGAGAGTTCTCAGAGGACCACTAAGTGAACTGCAGTGTGTTCGTGCATGTGTGTGTGTTTGTGTGTGTGTGTGTTTGAGGGTACTGGGGAGTAAAAGACAGAGTGAGTAAAAGAGAGCGGGGTGAGCCAAGATCCATGGTAGTGAGTGATGGAGCAGTAAAGCACACTCAGACTCCCGGCAAGGTGCCTGAGAGGGGTTGCCATGGTAACCAGCCTGAGCAGGGGAGCTGGCACGTGCATGAGTAAAATGAATTTGTGGCGACGGAGAGGAGTAGAGGGGCGATACCGGTTGAAACGCGGACAGGTTTGAAAGCTATTGTGTGAAAGTATTTTGAGAGGAAAATGGACGGGGAGGATGTGAGGAAGGTGGCAAAAAACAAGAACAGACAGAGCAAAGATGAGAGCAATAGGAGAGGAGGGGAGTGAGGAGTGCGTCTCTACTAAAGCTGAACGCCATGTGTGGAGAACAGATGGGACAGCTAGCCGACAGCTCAGCCAAGGATGACGCCACCAAAGGGGCTACGTGCACTCACTCACACACGCGCGCACGTACGCACACACACAGAGTGCATCTGAGTATACAAGCTGAATGTTGACCAAAGCTGGTCGTGTTGTTGACTCACACACTAACAACACAGACTGAGCTGTACTCCATGACTCAGATCAACAAACTATTTCTCACATCAAAGCTCTCACACATTGAAAACAGGTAGGTAGTGAAAGTGAATGCTTTGGATAAAGTGTGTGCGCACGCGCTTGTGTGTGTCTCACCTTTGGCTCCCCGCAGGACAAAGCCAAACCCCTCATTTTCTTTCTTCTGTAAAACAGCATTCTTCTCCTCTATGATATAGTCACTGTGAAGGAGAGAGCAGAGAGAGAGCAGGTATGAATCCAACACCATCCTCACACACACAAAGAGAGAGGGGCGAGAGGGAGGGCAGGAGAGGAAAGAGGGTTGGTCGGGGGGGTTGACAAGTGGGAGGAGACGGAGGCACACACATATACATTACATATATACACACCTATAATTCCTTTCCTATTAACCAATTAACCAATCATATTAAAAGCCAAGCAAGCAACCACAGCTCAGGATTCTCTGGGATTGTACCAGTATTTTGAGAGAGTGAGAGAGAGAGAGAGAGAGAGAGACACACACACACACACACACACACACACACACACACACACACACACTGGTATAGAGAAAAAGAGAATGAGCAGGCGAGAGAGAGAGAGTCCTTGTGATTCTGAAGTATCTGTGGGATAAAACCTAAGAGTGAATCAATCTTCGGGCTGATCCCTCAGATGAGACTGCAGCTGAGGAGGGTGTGGAGAGCTTCTGCTAAAGAAACTGACAGAGATGGCTAAGATGCAATATTATCCCCTGACTAATGATAGAGGGAATAGGAGGAAAAAGTAAGTGAGCACTTCATCACTGCCTGATTTTCCTGAGTGTTAAGGGGTAGAGGCTGTTAGATGGTGTCAACCTGTGCTGCTCTGCACACACTTAAATGCATCCTTTTTTTTTTCAAGCCACACATCTGTGTCCAAAGCCTGTGAGCCAAAACTGAAGCAGAGTTAGTAAAGCAGTCTTTGCAGCGAAGCGAAAATCAGCATAATGGCTGGACGTGTGCAAAAAAAATATTCAGATAAACCTGCCTTTCTCATCAAACTGATGACAGTAATATGAGTTGTAATGGTTTTAATCTACATATATGATAATGAAAGATGTAGATTAAAAACATTATAAAGGTGGCTTAAATATGCCGCACTTAAAGGTCCAGTGTGTAGGGTTTAGGGGGATATATTGGGCAGAAATAGAATATAATATAATAAGTATTTTTTCTTTAGTGTATATAATCACTTAAAAATAATAGTTTTGTGTTTATTACCTTAGGATGAGCTGTTTATATCTGTACAGGGAGCAGGTCCTCATCTACCGAGATCCCCATGTTGCACTGTAATGTTTCTACAGCTGCCCGCAATGGACAAACCAAACACGGGCTCTAAATAAGGCCATTTGCATTTTCACGTCGGCCACTTTTTGTTAGCAGCCCCTTCGCAAAGAGAGAAATCAGAAAAACACTGATTTTTTAAAATGCAAAACTGCTTCATTCAGTGTTTTTACCGGTTTAAATCACTGAGTCTGTTTGTTTTGGAGAGGAAGAGACCGCCAGAGTAATTTGCCTCACGGTAAAAATCTCTTCAAAGTCTGGAACAGAAAAAATGTGAGCACACATTCAGTTGTTAGAGAAAAAAGGTGAGCACACATTAGCAGGTGTTAGGCTAGGGGCCCGTCTGTGACTTGCCAAAAAGCAAAAGAGAAACACTGATTTGCAACGTGCACTGCTTTATTCAGTGATTTTTACCGGTTTAAATCACCGGGTCTGTTTGTTTTGGAGAGGAAGAGACTGCTGAGGATAATGTGGCTCCCAGTAAAAACCTCCTGAACAATGAACACTGAAGGAATCTCAAGTTGAAGAGGTTTCAGCTGGTTCCTCACTGCTAGATGCCACTAAATCCCCCTTAATCGGACACACTGCTCCTTTAAAGTGTAGACAACTATAACTTAATACTCTAAAACTTAAATTTGATTTGATTGTACACAATTTACAAAAAATTGCAGTATTACTTGTAATCTTCAGTCTTTTCACACCACACTTTGATTACTGTTTACAGCCTGAACACCTTGACAAAAGTTTTGTAGTATATTGTCGAATTTCATTATCATCAGTCATCCTACCTCACAGCTGAGGCAGAAGTAGAGGGCTGGTGTTCAGGTTGCAACTCAGTAGGCGGCTGCAGTCTCCATTAGCTTAGATACACTTCACCCTCTCAGACTTACCAAGGGAACACAGAGCTCCTGCTGCTGGAGCCAGGAGACCCGTAACAAACCTTTCTGCAGGAGGGAGGTCAAAGGTTTGGTTTCATAAAAAGCTATCTATCCACTTTTGCACTTATTGTTATGCACAGAAAGCTGTGTTGGTTAAACATCAGTAAGATGCTTTGTTTTAGTCCAAACCCTTTTATCCGCCACGCTTTCATCTCTGCTCTATGCCCCAAATGCCGCATTAATGCAATAAGCTCACTGTCCTTGTTCAGAATCTCTATCCACCTACATAACTCAATAAAGAAACTCTGATGTAAGATTTGAAATGATAAATGTTTCCTCAAAATAAACCTGTCCTTTGACATTAGTGATTTTAGTATTCCTCAGACTGCAGTGCAGATATCCATCTAAAGGACTGCAACTCAATAAGTTTCTGTCCTACCTGAGCGTTTAGCTGGCATGTGCAACTGGTATTTTTTTCAGACATTCATATGTTGCATCTGACTCTTAAAATGTCAGTCTCATGGCTGTAACCTGCTGTGATTTTGTGCAGAGCTGATTCTTACTATGGCACCTCTGGAAAGCAACAAGAAACTTACCTCATTCTCTATTTGTCAAGTTCACAACTGAACTATGGCACTGTCTGCCTTTTAAAAAAATACTATATACACACCACGCAATGCCTCGACTATCACAGGCTAGTGTGGCTGTGGTTATGCTAATTCCACAAACCTGGAGCTCTGGTAATAGAGATGACATTTAAACCAACTAAAAACCTAGAATGCAAGAACTTGACATTTTATAAAAGGCTGAGAAAGTGGGTGGAAACAATTGTCATTCAGACTAGCGCTGTATCTCAAACTGACACACTGTGGCATTAAAGCCAGAATTTGCATCATAACAAAACCAAACATAGCTTGCTACTTCACTCGCAGCTAACAAATCTGATTTAGAAGAGAGGGAGCACTGACACCCTCTGTGCAATAAATGTCAAACTCTAGACAGGGACGGCAAATAAAGAAGGACGTGAACTAAGAGTAGAGAAATAAAACATTAAATAGATTGAATGAGAACATCCTGGCAGCAAATCACAAAACTGTGCTTGTGCTTGAGTATATACTATGCATGTGTGTGAACAGTGCACATGCTGACAGAAAAAAAACTGGCTATGCAATTTATATGCATGTGCGTTTCACATTTAGAACTGGGTGCACTGGCATCCTTATGCCTTTAGATGGCAGCAGCTTCAAGGTACTCTAAATCCCTCTCACATGGACTCCATTACCCCTGATCAGTAAAGGAAGCACTCTGCGATATGACCACTTTAGTTTGTGCAGCACAGTATACACAAACACAGGGCCTGCATGTTGCAGTAGCAAGCCAGCTCAAGGAAAGAGGCTGTACCTGTATGAGGTGAAGTTGTCGTAGGATCCCACAGTGTAGTGTCTGAACAGTCTCTTAGTGCGGTCCTCCCGTGTCTCTGCAAAACAGATTAAAAGGCTTTTTAATTTAAAATTGATAAATCTGTTCATACTGGGTTGAAATAGTGTATTCAACTTCAAAGTCAATTACTCATTTGGTAATCTATTGTATGTATAAGTACACCTGCTTTTGGTATTACGTAGAGAAGATATTTAAACTGTGAACTCCTGGTTTTGCTTTATCTTTACCAAGGCCTTATACAAAATGTTAAATAGTAGTGCCATCAAACTGTGACTAAATTGCTGTTGTGATTTCATATCAGAGACACATCATTACAAGTTTAAATTCCTAGTGAAGTGTCTTGAAAGCAAGGTCAGCCACATTTGCCAGTGTACAGTGTTCTTGCAGCATTTTGTCACAAAATTGAGTAAAGGAGCTGAATCCCAGGAACGCACTTCTTAAATGTGATTTAGGAAGATTTATTTTATTGGAAAAGATTCACTTCTGCTAGTGACGTTTAACAAATCCATGAAAATCCAAAAATGTCAAGGCTGTTTCTGCCTCAGCTCTTTGCGTGGTAATATAAAAATGTCAGCAAAAAATTTAATTCAGTTAGCACAGAGAGGAATTAAGCTACCACAGAGAAGTAATTATCATTAACATGATTCATTTATCATAACCTACCAGAGTATAATTGTTCCATGGTAATTTTTTGTTTTTGAAACTGTAAAATAATTGCATAATTCTGCCTTGAAAGTCTTTCTTTAAAAGCGGGCAAATGCACAAGAATGGAAACCGTGTTGAGCTCAATTAATATAGTGTGTGTGTGTGCACAGTGTGCATGGTTCCTGTCAGCATGTGGGTGGATTCATCCTGTGGGAGTGCTGATAGAGATCGATGCCCTCTCCCCATCCCAATAATACACACTGCACCTCCACTAAACAGCAATCTGCTGACTACACACCCCGAGAACCTTTCAGGCCACACAGAAACTCTTAATTGGGCAAAGCTGTGAGAGCGAGGGGCGTCCTGGTGGTGATGTGAGACACACGGTGTGAAGCCACGAGTCTGGCTTGTAACCTTGGTCACACGGCTCCCCCTGCTTCTCTGTTTCCTGTCACTTCTACTGTCTGCTATCTAATAAAAGCAATACATCAAGCTGTTTGAGATATCCAGTCTGTATGAGAAAGAAAGAGACATGTAGGGAAAGAGATCAAAGTGAGTGAGCAGACTTGAAGTGGCTGGTATCCTCAGATCCACTTTAGCTTGTCCATCTGACTGTGTGTGTGACTGACAGACTGTCAGCTGAGAACAACTTGAAGCTCTGATAACTGCATCCACTGACACTTGGTAACGGAGCAGAAAGGCAAAAACAATATAAAGGATTTAGCAGTTTGCTCCAAGTTCTGAACCATCATCCTCTGCTCTTCCGCTTTCACCTGCCGTCTCATTTTCTTCATCTGCTGTCCTATTAAAATCTTGTTTACTTGTGCTGTGTTCCTTATTCTTCTAGAGTGCCACTGTGCGAATCTCAATCTCTCTGATTCTTACACATTCATTTGTTTCAGCATGATTGCGAATGCGTGGCTTTCCTCATCCCTCACTACACATGCCTTGGTCATGTGTAGTGTTTTAATGAAAGCAGCCTACATTACAAGACCGAGCTCTGCCTGTTTGATATCAAGGCCCATCTCTTCCCAGAGAACCACAGTGAATTGGTCAGTGTGTCACCGCCATGGTCACTGGTTTCAACGTTATGTGTTTGACTTGTGTTTTTTAGCTGCAAAGAAAATTCTCACCTAAAACATTTTTTCATGGTCATAAAAAAAAACTTTTGCCGATCTAATTGCCCTTTTTTGAACTATTGTTAGATGTTTATTTTTGACAGACATGCTCAGATATTTGCAGTGCAGCCACAAACAAGCGTGACAGATATTTGCTATTATCAAGTTTTGGGTTCACTCCATCAGGATGAGAAAACGTGATTCTTTCTGGAGTCATAATTTTGCTGCAGTGATCAATAATACAGAGAGTAATTCGGCTTGAAAAAGCAAAAGAGACACCGGTTTCTCCAATAGCAGCATTTGCATTCAAGGGCTATGTGTCTTATATTTTCCATACTGAAACCACTCTGTTTTGTTCTTACTAAGCTATCGATCACTGCTCTCTCCACCCACACAAAAAACCCACAGCTGAACGCAACAAGTTCTCAAGAGGGTGGACAAAAGTCATTCTGGAAAATATGTGTCAGAACAAATTGTGAAATCTGGATTGTTTATTTCAGGATTTCCTCAGCATTGATCTCTTTGGATGAGGATGTAGTTGAGAAGAGGTCATCTTCCTTTTGGCACCCACCTCCCTGGACTTGGTTTATAGGTGTGTTGGAAAACTGCCGAGGCAATGATGTTATAGCAACTTTGTAAGCAGCAGATAAGTGGTGTCACCATCCCTTTCCTCCAATCAGACCCTGTTTCTTTAGCCCTCTCTGCTGCCAAAAGGAAGCCCTGTGAATTGTTTTTAATTTGCTCCTACATCTTACAACTTGGCTGCCTGGGTCCAGACTTTTGGATCCACCCACTCCACTAAGGAAACGGAGTGTAACAAGTTCACAATTCCATCTGGAATCAGGCAAACAACCTGGATGACTAAGACTACCATACAAAGACATGAAATGTGAGAAATTACAAACTCAAATGGGAAGTGGAAAAGGAAGGTTGAGGGAAAGTGGGTACATGAAAACGAACGGCATTTTCTCATAAAAACTTGAAGAAAATTGAAGATTGATAAAGAGTGTGTGAGTATCAAAGCAGGAGGTTTGTAATCAAGGTGGAAGCTGAGTGGGCGTTTTTGCTAGTTATCGGTTATCAGAGGAGGTAAGGCGGAAACGAGATGAGAGGCGAGGGCTGGTTGGTATTTTGTCTGGATCAGAAGGTTACTCTACGTCCGCTCTTGGGAGGAAAGACATGGCATTTTGTAAGCACTGGTTGTCAAAAGAAAGAAGAGATCAAAGAAGAGGTGATATTTGGGGAGAAAGTTGTAGATGAGTCAGCAATTGTCTTCTCCCGCAAATTTAGAGTCTGTCTCACACACACATTCTCACTCAGCCACACAATCATCAAAAAGCCCTCACGTCAGAAAGGGACAAAAGAAAAAGAAAATCAGCCAAATGCTGGATAATTTGGGGAGTTGTTAAATGTAAATGTGCACGCTGAGAGTATTTTGTGTGTCTGAGCGGTATATGCATTTGTGTATGTACAGTATGTGTGCGTGTGCGCAGCCCGTGCACGCCGTGTGATACCAGATGCAGTCTAAGAGCGTGAAATGCAGCTCATTCATCACAGTTGTCATCTATTTTGTACAGCCCAGGAGCATCTAAAGGCAGGGCCCTGATAGCACAGATAACCTAAACTCCACTTCCATCTATCACACACACACACACACACACACTGGAAACAAGAGAAACGACAAAAGGCGTCCACTACTGTAAGTAAAGGCTGTTGTTTTAGTAGTAATGTACATTTTGAGGCTTTATATTATTATTATCATCACCATGGTTAGCTTACTAGTACAGGAGGCTGTGTTTTAGCACCAGGTGGGAATAAAACAACAAGAAGCATTTTCCAATTTGCACTAGAGCTACAACATCTGGGCTGTCAGAGGGGCAGATAAGTGCACTGAGATTTCAGAGAACAAAGACAATGACGAACTCGCTGGATGTCACTCAGTAAACTCCTTGTTGTACAGTCATGTTAAAATGAAACACATTAAAGGATTACCACCTACTATGAGAGCCACGACAAAAAATGGCAGCTGGTTGGCTTTAGACATACTGTCGCTGTTTGGTGATAATACTGATGTCCAGATAAAACATTCAGTTAATGTTTTTCTTCAAACCACTAAGTTTTTGCAGACAAAGAAAAATATAAATAAATAAACAGCCAAAAAGAAAAATTATGAACATTAGCAAAACATCTTAACAAAAAAAAAAAAAGAAATAACAAAGTATAATGGCACAGTGTTTTGTAAACACACTGAGGGGGAAAGCAAGAGAGGAAAGAAGGAAGGTCATTTCCCTCAGAAAACAGCATGAGAGACGATTGCCTGTGAGTGCACATTAGGAGGTGGCCTCAGAATGTGGTTTAATAAGAGAGATCTAAGGAGAGTAGCATTTTCATTATAGTCTAGATGCTGCATCTGGTGACAGGAACACAGATGGTGGTAATGACGTCCTTAGAAAAACAATGTCTAGCACATGAAGAAAAAAGTAAAATTTGGTCAAAGCAAAAGTTTTATTTAAGCCGCTTACTGATAGATAGACATAGATAGATACTACAGGTATGACTGATACAATAGATAACATCAGCATGTCTTAAGTTTCCTCTGTCTCTATCACGTACTGATATGACACAGCAGCACTCACGTTTACACCCGTGCTCATTAAAGCTTTTACACTCTCTGTTTCAAACACCTGGCTCTTAGTTGGTCTTTCCTGGGAGGAATTTTCTCCTGCAAATGAGGTAATAAATTTCATATTTCTGATGACAGAAAACATGGTTTAGATGAAAAAAAAAAAAAAAGACTAAAAGACTTACTAAAGCATTGATGCTTTCCAGCCACTTGTGTGGAGCACTAAAGGCTTCAGGAATGCACTAGGGGCACCTGCTGGTCAAAATAATTCACAGCAGGCAAGTACACTGTACATTAAGGCTGTGTTCACACCTGCACATGCTTTGTGTTCACACCATAAACAAACATCACCTGACTTAAAGCTCTTTAGGCTGTCTTGGTACCACATGTTTAACTGGTAATATATAACCATGTAAACAAACTGGACTTCAAGATCCTTATATTGGCATCATACGGGAACTGTCCATTGGTCCGACAGCCCATTGGTCCGACATCCCATTGTTTCGCCCATATTAAACCCATTGTTCCCAAGTCCGTTCCGAAATCATCATGATGCCCTGTGGTTAAGGTCTGGTTAGGTTTAGGCACAAAAACCACTTGGTTAGGGTTAGGAAAAGATCATGGTGTGGTTTAAAATGAAAAAGAAAGTGA